GCAGCTCTCTGGGATTGCCTTGAGAACTCCACCTGCTCTGCAAGGAGAAAGCTGGATGGGAGAGTGGGGAAAGGGTGTTTAGGACCAGCTAGCTTGCAGTGTTTGTCAGACTCCGACTGCCTCTTGACGCAAGATCGATGGCTTTTCCCAGAAATTTGGAAAAGATACGGTAGGGGTTTGCTGTGTGAGCTGTGCCTCCAATTTTGCTGCAACTCCAGCAGTAGGGTGGTGGTGAGACGGTGGTAGGAGGGGAACAGCCTGGCCCCTGGTGTTAGGTCCCTCTGTCTTTGACTAGTCTACTTAAGGACTTTGGTTCTCTCCTTAACCCTCGGAGGAAGGTTTTCAATCTCTATGAAATTCCATCCCACTGTTACATCCAAAGTCTTTTTTCAGTATTACCTATAGCTGCTATGTCTCAAGACAGCACCACTTCTTAAGACAGCTGGGGCTGAAACAAGGGGAGAAATGTGCTCTAACACACCACAGGACTTCTAAACTATTTCTCCCACAGTCATCTGGAATGATGTGTCCATTCTCCTACAAATTCATAAGCTCGGGAAATAAACCAAGGCTCCCATTCCATGAACCAGGCATTAAAGCATAAGATGCTTAGAACTTGTTCAACTTTCAGTTTGCTTATCTTTAAAGAAGGTGATTATTAATATCAACAAATAGTGATATTATCAGATCTTTCAAGGTATCTTGTGTTCAGAAACCCTAGAAGTAAGGATGAAAAGTATAGTATCACAGTATCTGAAAGTGGCTGTTAAACAAACGGTCTCAATGGAATTGACAGGAGAGGTCAGTATTACTTTTGATGACAATATTAAAAGGACAACTGATTTTATTAAATATTAGGAAACTCAAAACATATGGGCTTCCCTGGTGGGTCATTGTTAAAGAACCCTCCTGCCAATGCAGGAGATGCCAGTTCAACCCCTGAATCAGGAAGATCACCTACAGAAGGAAATGGCAATCCACTCCAATATTCATGGCCTGAGAAATTCCTTAGGGAGAAGAGCCTGGTGGGCTCTCATGGGGTCAGTTCATGGGGTCTCAAAAGAGTCAGACACGACTTAGTGACAAAACCACCACATAACAAAACTCAAAACACACATGCTACCAATATTGGCATTGTAAATTAGTAACTCTAGCTCTACCCTGAGGATACTAGTTGAGTTGTGGGAACTGTTCAATGTGTGTTTGCATGTCTATATTCTAAGCCATCCCCCAAATCTACTCTCCTAGGGTAAAATGAAAGGGAAGACAGTGGTGAAAAAAAATTTAGAGATATCAAAGTATAAAGATATGCAAAGTATGCTAAAAATTAAAACTAGACCAGGATATTTACATATTTTATTAAATCTTTACAATCAGTAATTATAATCAAATACACAACTATATACAAGGATTATATACATTTTGCCCAGACTTTTACATCACAGTACATAGTTTCCCTTAGAAATATTGTATACATTTATCACCAAACAATAAAATCCAACAACAGTAGTGTTACAGCACCTGTTAGTACAGACATCTTTTTCATAAATTACATCATAAGAAAATATACGGCTGTAAATTGGGCTTTTAAAAATGTCTTTTATAAAATCTGAACATACAATATTTCATTCACAGAATGTTTTTTTTTTCTATGTTCTGACTGAAGCCTTGTGCATAAAACGACCAGTTGGAATATTTACTAAATGCCCCCTCCTCTAAATTGATAAGCACTATTGGAATTATGGATGCTGAGCTTTCTTTATGATGAATTCGGCATGGGGTTTGGTGAGGGAACAAATGCTGGTTTTACTACTGAAAGGGCCGTGTGATGGTAATTTAAATTAAAATAAAAATTTCGAGAGTATATTAGAGAAGTTAAAATCACAGAGTGCACAGTTTTTCATTTTATTCTCTAAACACGTGAAGAAAAAGGGAAAAGTATAATGTTAAAAAAACTTTGTTCTGAAACAACTGTATTCTTGTTGGAAGCCTATTAAAAGTTAAAAAGAAAAAAGAAAACCTACCCAACAAAACATCCCATCCCAAACATATCTAGTAAGTTACAATTCTTTCACACCTAAAACTTTATGAGAAAAGCACTGCTTTTTTTAGGGTATATCATTTTAATGGACTTTCCTAAGCAGAAAAAACTAGAACTATTTTTAGTAGGTAAACAAGTGAAGTTTTAAAACTTGAAAATACCTGAATTAAATACTTTCTCTAATATCTTTTAACTTTCAGATAAAATCCATACTTGATTCCAGGTTTGTAAACATTGTATAAATCCTTCTTAGTCAATCAATTTTATGGCTGTGGTGATCACTTCAGCTCTATCTCTATGCAGTCAACATCTAACTGAGGTAGACCAGATGTTTCTAAAATTCAGGGTCACACAGAAACCCCTGAATCTTTAGGAAGTAAATAAAATGCTATAAAAGGTACTTAAAAAACAAAACATTTAAAAAAATGCCTAATGCTGTTGAAACTTTTCAATGAACTCAAAAACAGCTTCATGGCAGTATGTCAATTAAGAATGGCGAGTCAGTGACAAGGTTGGAGTTCTGAAGCTGAACATTACACCTTCTTTTCTTAGCTAGGGAAAAATCAAGTATAATTCCTTCTGCTATTAATTTTATAGTTGAATTTTTTTTTTCTTTTTTCAAAGGATTCATTTTTCTAAACAAGCTGGTGGTTTGGTCGCTAAGTTGTATCTGACTCTTGTGACCCACGGACTGTAGCCGCCAGGCTCCTCTGTCCCTGGGCTTCTCCACAAGAACACTGGGGTGGGCTGCCATTTCCTCCTCCAACAAATTGCTTCTAGGCCTCAATGAATGGCAACAACTCCCTCTAATGGCCAAAGAGAAGGTAAGTGGCAGTAAGCTGGCTTTTCTGTGTATGCCACAAGATCTCTGCTGGAAATAAAATTATGTTGTTTTGATAAATTAGAAAAGCTAGATTTAGACAACAATGGCTTTGAGCTACAAAAAGAAAACCAAATCAATGTATATAAGGCTTCTGTAATCCAAGTCTTAAAGGAACATCTGCTCCTTTTCTCCAAGCCCCAGTCCTATAAATCAAGGCAAGTCAAGTAATTACGCTTCAGGTATTTTGGCAGCTTTGCAATCAAAATGAACAAAGCACTATGTCTATCTTCCCATATACTATATGTATTATAGTTCTATCTTCTTACACCAAATTTCACATGCAGAGACTAAAAATATCCATTTTGGTGTCAGGTTTAATTAAGGGCCAATAAAAGTCTTGTATGCTACTCTTTTTCCCCCCACTCAAAGTGAATTCTCTATTAGATTTATTACTCACTGACCCAATTAACTTTAGCTGGAATTTTTGAAAGCAGCTATTTATCCACTTATAAAAGAATATGTTTACCTGGAATCTAAGACATACTGTACATGAATATACATAACTACAATACAGCACTGCTGTTCTTTTAACAGCTCCATATACAGTTTAAGTTCATCGGTACCTCCAAAACTGTGTTTTGAGAAAAAAAAAGTTATTATATAATGACATGGTAAAGAAAAAGAAAATTAAGTCTCAAATATTCCTTTAGAACTGATTCACGTATGTTTAAAAAAATAAATAGAGTAAAGCCACGATTTCAATTACAGGGCTGTCTACAGATATCAACAAAAAAGTTTTAAAAACTTAAATGTGGCCAGCACCAGACTGCCACACACACACACACACATATCAAAAAAAAAAAAAATAGGGAAAAAGGTTCCATTAAGCTATATGGCTATATGTTAGTTGCTACTGTGTTTTTTTACACAGGTTACCATAGACTAATTTTCAAGTCCATATTGGAAGGAATACTCATTAAAAAAAAAAACAATTTAAAAACCATGATTCAACAGAAAATGTGACAGATTCCTTAGGTGCAACTTTAGCAACTATAGTTTCAAAGGAGGAAAAAATAGTAGTTACTCCAGAATTTTTAGATCACTACCACAGTTTTATCATGGCTAAGACAGAAAAATGGAACAAAATGTATTCAGCTATTGGCGACACAGGTTTTGTGGCTCAAAATGCATACTACACATGGGATGGAGTAAGGCTGATGGCTAGAGGTAATCACCTCCAAAGAAATGAACTGGAAAAGATTTATAATTTACCCTACAAAGATATAACCTTAAGTTCCATTTCAGAGTAGTCACAGCTTTCCCTATGGAAGGCCCAATGGCAAGTTCATATTGCAACATTATAGTTTCTCCCTTGCTCCATTTTTCAGGAGTATTAAGTAACCAATTTCCACATTATATGACCTTTTTACCTGGTCCCAATGATTAGTCTTTATGCAAATAACTCACTGAGAAAGTACACTGGCTTCACCTTTGGTTTAACTGAAAAGGACACCGTTAAGAGGGAAAAAACTCAAGTCATCTTGATCATGTTACACAATGAAGCAAGTGAAAATGATGAGCAAAGACTGTTTTCACCATGAATGCATTTGCTTCACAACCACTTAGGTCACTTTGAGTGTTTCCGTGAAGGCAGCATAACCAGAATGCCCACAAAACTCCTATGTGTTTTCCCCAAAGAACCTCTAACCCCCAAACCAAGAAAACTGAGCTTCCTTTAATTAGAAAGCCGTACAAATCTGTATTCCCCACCTCATAGTTAACTAAATATGTTTCTTAGCTACTATCCAGAGACTGCAGAAATCTGGTTCCAAGGAATGCCCAGTAATCTTTTCCTGGCCCAAAGTATGCAGCAGGATGGTACAATCCTGTCCTGTCACCTGGGGGGTGGGGGAGGACTGTGAGTTTGCATTTTTGATGGGACAGTTTTAAACAAGGTCAGTTCTAACACAGCATGTTCCAGATTCCTATGACAACTAACTCTCCCAGTCAGAACGTGGTTGCTTATCACCATACTTAAAGCCTCCCATGAAGAGAGCCTGCTTAGTATCAGGGTGTCTATTAACCACAGTTTACCTTTTCTTTTGAAATACCTACCACCAGGTAGACTTTCGTGAGTCAGAGCTCATCCTTATCCATCATTTCAAATGCTTCTATGTCTTCATTCCAGTCTGCTAATATGGAGTCTATAGGCTGGACCTTTTTACCCCAAACATTAGGATTGGAATCCTCCTCAGTTTCTGACTGTTCTTGAAGCTGGTTATCTAAATCTGTACATTCACCATCAAGACTTGTAGTCTCATGGTTTTCCGTGGGGTTAGAATCCTGTTCAGAAGAAGAAACGCTTGCAGCACTGTCTGTATCTACTGGAGATAAAGATTCTGGGTGAGAGTTCACAGAACTTTCCTCAGGAGACTCTTGATCAACCAGATCAATCTCCTGAGACCTTGATGCAATCTGTTCAGCACTCTGAGAGTCATTTTCGGAGGATGGTTGTTCTTCATTTTCCATCTCAGGATCTGTACATAAAAGAAACAATCTTCATGCCACTTTCCTCCTCAAAACATGTACTAACATATTCTCAAAACCATACTGGTTTTAGTGTTAAAGCAAAAAACTGAGAGTTAAAAGAAAACCATGTTAATGCAGGATGATTCTAATAAGACTGCCATCAATGGGTGTCAATAAATGCCAAGAAATACACTAAACAATAATACTATTAAAATGCATTTAAATTTATGTCTCAAATTTATTAAACATATAAATTCAGGAAAGCCCACACATGAGAACATATTAAACCAAATAAAATTTAAACAGTGCATGCCACTGCTGTAATTTTAATATTCTTTGAAAAGTGAAAGTCCCACTCAGTAAACCATGAAAATGCAGATAATACAAAATTAAATGATTCATGGATATCAATGTGATTGATTACATATCTCCATAAATACAGAAACAGATTATTTACAAAACTTCATTACTGGAAGTCTCTGAATTATAAGATATAATCATAAAATCCACTGGAAGGCTGAAAAGCAGGCTAAACCTCTGGTAATGAATATACAGTAAAACCACTAGAGGCATTTTATTTAGGGTTCCTACAAGAAAGTGCTTAGGTAGCAACATCTATAATCATGGGCTGCACAATTCTCAGACTCTGCAATCAGTTGGGAAAGATCTCCTGAGCGTCTTACTGTGTGGCAGGCACCGTGCAAGGCGCTAGGGATAAAACTAGGTGAAAACAAAACACCTATACCTGCCCTTCTGAATCTTATAGTCCAGCTATAATCATCACACAAATAAATAGAAAACTCTGTGATGCATGCTATGGTGTTAGGAAAGAATAATGAGATTTGAGGACTTCTTTCAGAATGTGACACCTGAACTGAGATTTCAAAGATAAGCAGAATTAGTCAAAGAAGAAAGAGAAGATGAACTTATTATAAAACCAGAAAAATGGAAGGAAATAAAGGCACACAGGGAAGGACAGAAGGATACTATGCATACACCCTGACCTGGCAGGATTACCTGACATGGGAAGCTTAAGATAGCTCGTGGTGGGGGTGTGTCAGGGGGAAGGTGGGCAAAGGGGAGGAGTTCCCACACATTCTCTCAGTTGTGGAAAAGGTACATTTTAATTTGACATTTAGGGAAACTAAAGAACAGAAAGCAGTCTGGCAGCTTGGAGCTCATTTATGCTAGGCTATCCTACGTTCGAGCGAAAACAAAAAGAACCTTCGTTTCTAGACTGCATTAATCTAGTTTAGGAAAAGGTGTGGGGCTATTTTATCTAGTAATAAAGACTGTGCTTTTGACAAAGATTCACTCTAGGGTTACATGTTACATAATATTATTTTGGAAACCTAGCTCAGGATAAGGAAACAGAATGGTGTAGGCTCCAATTGAGATGTGGAGTAGAAGGACAGGGAACTCCCCACCTACCACAAATAACAGGAAAGATACATCTACAAACAGAATGAATCTCACAGAACACCTACTGAACACGAGCAGGAGACATCCAACAGCTGAGAGGACGGGAAAAATCTCTAAGTCATCAGGTAGGATGAAGGAAAAAAAACGAGGATGGAGGGACGGGACGTGCGCCCCTGGGAGGGAGCTAAAAAGAGGAGGGGTTCCCGCATCCTGGGAAGCCCCCTCAGATCTGCGGGGACAGAAAGGGAGCTTCAGAGGCTCGGAGGAGAGCACAACCCCCATCTGTGGCAGGCAGAAGACCCCTGCACAGACTGGAGTGCTGCTATCCTGCGCCCCGGCCCGAGACACGTGTCCGCTGGTACGGCAGGGCCTGCAGCTCAGGGGTGAGTGCGCGGTCCCAGAAGAGGACTGCTGCTGGCTGTGTGGACAAGGCCTGAAGGGGGCTGGAGTGCGGTATGGCTGCAACTGGGGGTGTTTGCAGAAGCACCCAGGCCACCATAGAAGTCAAGCACCACTGTTAAGGGGCACACAAAGGAGCCCCTCTCTCCACTGCCAGCCTCTGCCTATGCAGGCTCCAGGAGAGCACACCCCGTCACTGCCTCGGTGGCCTAACAAATGCAAGTCAGTATACACAGGATGGATAAGCAACACGGTCCTACTGTTTAAGACAGGGACCTCTATTCATTATGCCGTGATAAACCATAATGGAAAGGAATATAACTGCGTCACTTTGCTGTACAACACATTTATACAACACTGTACATCAACTGTACTTCAACTAAAAAGAATAGTGTAAATACAGAAACAGGAAAGATCAAGTTGTCTGTATTTTCAGATTCTGTTTTACACTTAAAGTAACTCAATTTTTAACAGTACTATCAAGATGATAAAAGAATTTGATAGAGGGTAAAAATAAGGTAAGTAGGCAAATACAAATAACCCCTCTGTAGTAGCAATAACTGGTTAGAAATACACCAAGTATCATTTTTATAATTAAAAACAGAATCTACAAGACATAGAATTAAATTTATTATGAAATCTTATTGCTTAGTATTATAAAATCTCAATGAAAAAATAAGATCTGATTCAATTTACAGGTAAGTACCTGTATGTACCTGGATGTAAAGTCAATATTTAACAAAATTTTCCTGTTTATATGTAACACACACAGTTATACAACCCCCAAATGAATCCCAATTCTACTCCTTTACTTTTTGGACTGGATAGGATTATTTTTAAATTCCTATGGAAGAATGTACATCACAGAGAAGTCAAGAAATTCTGAAAAGAATTAGTGAGAGGGGAGCTGACTTGAGAGATATTAAAATGTATTCAAAATAGCAAACTATTCTATTATTGGCACTGGAATGAGCAAACAGATTAGTGTAAAAGAAGAGAAAGTCACCCAAAAACAGATCAAATATATGAGAATATGTGATACATAGCAAAGTGGCAACAATCAGCTAAATAAAAATGACAGCTGGAGAAGTACAAAAAGGAAGAAAGAATCTACCACCCCACTACAAAACCTTCATTCTAAGGGGCCTGTTGTCATCGTATGGAGTATCATAGTACTAATGACTACATCATTAAATTCAGGGATGGTGAATCAGACTTGCGGAAGCAAAAAAGAATGAAGAAAATCTCAAGATACAAAAACAAAATGAGAGAGAGAGAGAAAGAAAAGAAAAAAGTTTTAATAATGAAAGGACAAAGAAACTTGGCAAAGCGACTGGATGTTCTACAATCATTCATTCACCCATGCAACCAGCATTACTGACAGCAAGAAATACAGAGCTGAGATGCAGGTAAAGAAGTACAATGTAATACAAATGTCAAAAGTACAACTATATTAAGATGTTGGGATTTTCCCTGGTGGTCCAGTGGTTAAGAATCTACTTGCCAATGCAGGGGACACAGATTCAATGCTGGTCTAGGAAGATCTAGAAACTAAGCCTGTGTGCCACAACCACTAACTCTACGCTCCAAACCCTGTGCTCCGTAAGGAGAGAAGCCACGACAATGAGAAGCCCACAGCACCACGAGCAGAGTAGACCCTGTCTGTCCTAACCAGAGAATGCCTGTGCAGAGCAACAAAGACCCAGCACAGCCAAAACTAAATGAACACACATTTTTAAAGAAGATGTCCATACATTTTATCTATGAGAATAAGAGAATTCATAGAGAAGATAGCACTAAACTTGGTATTTAGAATAACGAAATGTTTTTAAAGAGGAAAAGGTTGTGGGAGTGGAATCAGGATTTACAAGGTATTTGTGGAAAGAGGGAAGATGTACAAATGCCAAGGTGCAAGAGAAAACATGTGGTGACTGAGGAGGAGGCTGGAGTCCTTAAGTGTTAATCCTACTAACAGCGTCTCAGCGGCCCCTTTCCAAGCAAAGACGCCGTCTGTTTACATATCCGATTCACCTCCTCAGAACCAAATCCTTTCCAGTAGAAATCTAAGTTCTACAGGATCAACTGAAGGACAGATTCACCCCAATCAAATTCAGTGAAGGACAATCTTAGGAAAAGGAACACTGCCACACTTAAATCTTAGGCAGTTCAAACCACTGGACCTTTCTTTTATTTCCCCTGTCCTGCCTGCCTCTTCACCAGACAGACACAAATATAAAACTAGTTCTGAATCTGTGTATCCACACAGCTCTTAATGCACTGGAACTACACTATAAACTACAAAATGATAACGTGTATTCAAACTTTTAAATGCTGATTTTTTCCCCCCCTCTTGAGAAATATTACTGAGAAATGTCAACTGAATCTTAATTGTAAATTGTTTCAATTTGTATCTCGAGGTAACAGTGTCTTTTGTTTGCAGGCACAGGGTGGGAATTATTATTCAGCACCTTTACAAATTCTAGAAATTCTGGAACCGGATACATGACGGACACAATATTAACACTTCTGTGGATAACTTAACTTTTAGAAGTGTGACTGGTTTAAACTGAGAAAGCAGCATTTCTATTCGATAAATTACTAATGCTTTATTCTGAAGAAGAATGTATAATAATTATCTGGACATTTTTGCTAGGATATAGGACTGTTGCAGATATTTCTCTTATCAATGGCTGGGGTTTATCAGAATTAGAAGGTGGGAGTGGGGGCTTGTTCTGGAGTCTCTATTTTCTGTATTGATATGTGGGAAGATTGGCTCCATCAAAACTGACTTTTTAAGGGAAATATGTATCTGTGGAATGAGATCTTTAGAGAAAACAATCTGGAGGACATTTTAAATCATTCAGATTTTATGGCTGCTATTATTTGGTGTACTTATAGAATCCTACCTAGTACCCATATGTGTGTTGTGTGCTAAGTTGCTTCAGTCATGTCTGAGTACCCTTGATGGCACAATAGGCCAGATACAGAGCTGGGAGATTTTTTTTTTTTTTTAAGGAGTGGTGCCTTCATGGCCTTATTCAGTGCTTCTCAAAGTATAGCTGAGTACAATGAACTGGAATGCTTGTTTAGATTCTGATCCCCTGCTTTCAGAGAGTCTGATTCAATACTCTGGAGTAGGTCTCAGGAATCTACACTTTTAACTACTACATCAGCTAATTCTGAAGCAGAAGAGAAACAATGCATGCAGCAACAGCACAAGACAGATTAATGGTACCCACTACAGATGTTAACTTAGAATGTTTTCCTAAGTAAATAAAGCAGTTGATTTAATAAAACTATTATCACTGACTTTTGTTACACTGATAAATATTAACAATTATACTATAACTCATTGCTGACAGTTAATAATGCCCTATAGTTCTTCAAAAAGCTATACAAAAAGGGGAATTTGTCAAGGCTTTTTGTCAAAATATCACATTACAACAGAATCGCAGTCAAAAAATGGACAGACTATCAAAACTTTAAAAAACATACAATTTAAATAAAGCCCTTTTACTGCAAGGTCCTTAAGGGAATACTATTATGTGTTCAGACTTTTTTAAAAATTTAAATAGCATAACTGATCTCTTTGCATATCCTTTCTCTGGTATAGGCAGCACATGCTCTACACCACAATCTCATAGTCCTAACCCTCACACATTTCCTACAGATATATGAGTTTTAAAAACAAGTTGATACTTTAAATAGTTTATACTGCATTCCAATAAAAAGTGATCAAAAGTAATACATGCTATACAACAATGTCTTCGTTAAGAGTAACTCTGTCATGGATATGGACTAGTGAATTCACCTATTATTTAATTTATAGAATTTGTTATGACAGGATCAATAAAGAATCATCATCATGGGACAGCTGACTAGACATGAAAATAATTACTTTAAATGATGTATTATCATGGTAGCCACTGAAACAATATACATATGCACACGCATGTGTGTATATACATGTATATACATATATACACATGCATATACATATATATAATTTAAGGCTTATTAAAGATACTTACTACTATTAATAATGTAGCTTGGAATCATTTTACCTTTTAATATTGCTGCTGAAATTCCAATGGTAGCACAAAATAGGGGGGAAAAAAAGCAAAGGCATTAAAGAGTTACATGGAATAATAATTTGCCTGTGTTTGATGTGCCAAAATGCATATAAAGATCTAACTGAAAAAAGGGCTCAAGAAGAGAAAAAAAAAAAACAGGCACATAGGAGGATTTAAGAAGATTAGGAATCCTTTCTATTCTGTTCTATTTATACATCCTTAAGCACATACACCCTACTCACTCCATACTGCTTAAATAGTTAACAACTGAATGAACCTCAAAGAATAAAGCAATACAAGAAGACAACACAAAACACTGATTTGGCTGGCACTAGATTATTGCTAAACTTTTTTTTTTTAATTGGTCCACTTGGAGGTTATACTGACTTGAGTAAGTTTCCTACATATCTGCCAAACAAATATCCCAAACATCAACAACCGTGTACAATTACACAATCTGTTGAAGGCGAGGTAGGAGGACTAGTGCTCTCTCTATAGGAGTCTCCAGTGGCTAAGAAAATGGCTATTAAAAGCAGGATTACAGACTACATCTGATGGTTCACTTTCCCTCATTTGCTCTCTATCCCTAGATGTGAAATTGTAAAAGAATACTAGTGAGACCTTGCATTTATACAATAATTTGGGTTCCAAAGAGCTTTCAATTTACTAACAAAAATCTTGGCCCAGAGAGGAATATATATATACACTCTCATGAATTAAAGCATGCCATCTTGTTCTTCAGGCACTAGCTAGTCATGTGTAATTCTTGTAACTTGTAAGTATCTATATGATGAAATTAGATCTCAGCGAAGAGAAGCTGCTGATTTCTACCGCCTTCACCAAGACACAGGTTATTTGATTACAGGTGGCCTGGTGAAACCCAATTACTATTATATTGTATATAACACCGTTCTATATAATCTCTTTTTACTTCTTATTCTAAAAAAAACCCAGAGGATATAGTATCTGTTAAATTGAATGGTGGATGTTAAAATGACTCTGTGAATGTTAAAAAGGACTCTTAATGTAATCTCTTCTATTTTTATCACTTGCAGAATCATAGCAAAAATTATAAATTACATATAAAAATTCTAATGACATCCCAAATCAGCAAACAAAGCAAAATAAACATTTCATTACTCAACTTTCCAAAAGAAAAACATATTTTGAAATCACCTTCTAAAAATTTTTACTTCTTTTACCAGTGAACCATAAATAATCATTTTGTAACTCATTTTTGTCAAGTTAGAAAAATTAATGTGAAGCAGAAAACAAAGGATTTTTCACCCTTACCTCGATCTTTTGCTTTGTCAGAAAGGAGCACCTCTACCTCCTCATACTCCCGGATGGCATCCAGTATGATACTTCCTTCTTTACTGAATAGAAACAGCATGGGGATCTTAATGTCATCTGTGTCCTTTCCATCCCCTGCCATCTGGAACAGAGGGGCAGTATCACTACTGCTCCCCTCATTGTCATCTAGCCAGAGAATGAATAAAAGCAAACATCAAAAAGTTCATCCATGAGAAAAGTCCAGCTACCAATCTTTACTGTTTTTCACCTGTTGACATTAATTTCCTGCATTAAGAACCACAATAACACTCATACCTGTGGGGCCCCACTAATTCTACTCCTAGAAATTTATCCTGAGGAAATAATTCAAAAGAAGCGAAATGATCTATGCCTGAAAAAGTTTACTGGAGTGCTTTATGCTTGTCAACAACTGTAAACTGTAAGTAAATTATAATGAACTACCTGAGGGAACACACAGAAAAACAAAATGTTATTATTACATAAAAAAGTAAAGTACAAAGTTCTATGATTGTGACTATAAAAATTTCAGATGCTTATGAAAAAGCCTAAAAAGGGAAAAATTCAGAGACTTGAATTACAATGATAGAATAATGAAAATTTTATTGTTATTTACAATTTCCTCTAATGGCATTATATTATATATTTTAAAAACACTCTTCACAAGGAATAATTACGACTAGACTGTTGTTTTCCTCTGTAAGTTGAACGAAACACTAATGTGACTTTACACTGGTTAAAAAATAATAGTAGGGCTGCTAATTACTACTCTACTGGAGATGTCAGTTATGTCCAGTCCTAATCCCACATGCCAGTCTCCCTGGAGAACCTGTCTGTCACCTCTCAGAGAGCTTGCATGGACAGGCCCTGCTAAGTGGAGAATACCGTGCAGAATCACCCCCTTCAACAATAACTGACTGGACAAAGGATGGCTACCTGACCCCCAGTGTCTCTGGGATATTTGAAGTGGCACACTTTCAAAAAAGGAAGACTTTCGGTTAGCAGTGGGCAGAAGTCCAGTTAAGTGACACAGACTGATGGCTTAGGCTGCAATTTTGGAAAAGGCCATTTTGGAACTGCTAGGTAAAAACAGAGCAAGCTGGTGAGAAACTGCAGAATGAAGCAGAAGAGCAAAGAGCTGCAGAGAAGAGTCCAGGAGGGCCCACAGACAGAGACAAGAAAAATGCCAGCCATCGCGGTTCCTGATGATTTTTAGTTTCCACTTCTAATTCCTTAGAGCGCTCAGTTGTATTTCTTACTCTTGGGTTCAACAAAAATAATCCATTTCCATATAGTAAACAAACCTCCCTTACACTAAATAAACTGTCTCTTCTAGGCAAATGATTTTTAAGATAATCTATACTTCTGGTATTTGGGATAAAAAACAACCAAGTCCTAATTTGCTCATTTATATACAATTAAAACCAGATAATCATGATGGTGTGATCACTCACCTAGAGCCAGACATCCTGGAATGCGAAGTCAAGTGAGCCTTAGGAAATATCACTACGAACAAAGCTAGTGGAGGTGATGGAATTCCAGTTGAGCTATTTCAACTCCTAAAAGATGATGCTGTGAAAGTGTTGGACTCAATATATCAGCAAATTGGAAAGCTCAGTGGCCACAGGACTGGAAAAGGTCAGTTTTCATTCCAATCCCAAAGAAAGGCAATGCCAAAGAATGAAACTACTGCACAATTGCACTCATCTCACATGCTAGTAAAGTAATGCTCAAAATCCTCCAAGCCAGGCTTTAGCAATACGTGAACTGTGAACTTTCAGATGTTCAAGCTGGTTTTAGAAAAGGCAGAAGAACCAGAGATCAAACTGCCAACATTAACTGGATCACTGAAAAAGCAAGAGAGTTCCACAAAAACATCTATTTCTGCTTTATTTACTATGCCAAAGCCTTTGACTGTGTGGATCACAATAAACTGTGGAAAATTCTTAAAGAGATGGGAATACCAGACCACCTGACCTGCCTCTTGAGAAACCTGTATGCAAGTCAGGAAGCAACAGTCAGAATTGGACATGGAACAACAGACTGGTTCCAAATAGGAAAAGGAGTACGTCAAGGCTATATATTGTCACCCTACTTATTTAATTTATATGTACATCATGAGAAATGCTGGACTGGATGAAGCTGGAATCAAGATTGCCGGGAAAAATATCAATAACCTCAGATATGCAGATGACACCACCCTTATGGCAGAAAGCGAAGAACTAAAGAGCCTCTTGATGAAGGTAAAAGAGGAGAGTGAAAAAGTTGGCTTAAAGCTCAACATTCAGAAAACTAACATCATGGCATCTGGCCCCATCATTTCATGGCATATAGATGGGGAAACAGTGGCTGACTTTATTTTTGGGGGTTCCAAAATTACTGCAGATGGAGACTGGCAGCCATGAAATTAAAAAATGCTTACTCCTTGGAAGGAAAGTTATGACCAACCTAGACAGCATATTAAAAAGCAGAGACATTACTTTGCCAACAAAGGTCCGTCTAGTCAAGGCTATGGTTTTTCCAGTAGTCATGTATGGATGTGAGAGTTGGAATATAAAGAAAGCTGAGCACAGAAGAGTTGATGTTTTTGAACTGTGGTGTTGGAGAAGACTCTTGAGAGTCCATTGGACTGCAAGGAGATCCAACCAGTCCATCCTAAAGGAAATCAGTCCTGGGTGTTCACTGGAATAACTGATGTTGAAGCTGAAACTCCAATATTTTGGCCACCTGATGCTGGGAGGGGGCAGGAGGAGAAGGGGACAAAGAGGACGAGATGGTTGGATGGCATCATCGACTCAATGGACATGAGTTTGCGTAAACTCCAGGAGTTGGTGATGGACAGGGAGGCCTGGCGTGCTGAAGTTCGTGGGGTCGCAAAGAGTCGGACACAACTGAGCGACTGAACTGAACTGAAAACCACTGTAGATGGTGACTGCAGCCAGGAAATTAAAAAACACTTGCTCCTTGGAAGGAAAGCTATGACAAATCTAGACAACATATTAAAAAGCAGAGACATTACTTTGCTGACAAAGGTCCGTATAGTCAAAGCTATGGTTTTTCCAGTGGTCATGTATGGGACTTGGCTTTTTCAGTAGTCATGTGAGAGTTGGACAATAAAGAAAGAATTGATGCTTTTCAACTGTGGTGTTGGAGAAAACTCTTGAGAGTTCCTTGGACAGCAAGGAGATCAAAGAAGTCAATCCTAAAGAAAATTAGTCCTGAATATTCATATTTCCTGGAGACTCCCATAGAGGGAGGAGCCTGGTAGGCTACCATTCATGGGGTTGCAAAGAGTCGGACACGACTGAGCGACTTCACTTTATTCATATGAAGGGCTGATGCTGAAGCTCAAACTCCAATACTTTAGCCACCAGATGCAAAGAACTGACTCATTGGAAAACAGCCTGATGCTGGGAAAGATTGAAGGGAGGAGGAGGAGGAGACAACAGAAGATGAGATGGTTGGATGGCATCACCGACTGGATGGACATGAATTTGAGCAAGCTCCGGGAAATGGTTAAGGATAGGGAAGCCTGGTGTGCTGCAGCCCATAGGGTTGCAAAGAGTCGGACATAATTGAGCAAACTGAACTGAACCGAAAACTATTAGAAACTAAACAAAATGCTTCACCAGAAACAAAAAAATAACTTCAGGGAAAGGAGTTACAATATAAGAAAGTTTCCACTTAGACATTAATTTTTTTAAAAATTAAGGACCATTTCTTTTAATTATTTACTTACAGATCTCAAGATAGCATTCTATAACTAATAGCTACTCATGAAAGCATTTGATTTGACAAACCTTGCAGAGTACAGAATACCATGAAAATTAGACTTTACCAAAAAATGGGGAAAATCTAAAATACTCCACATATGTTCCCAACTTTATTTTTTCATATTTTTAAAACTCAGTAAGAAGTCTAAAATAACAGTAGTGGCAAGCTATTAAATTATTTAATAAAAGTAATCTCAGAGTGGAAAATAACCAAGGATTAAGAGGTGATTTAAGTCCGCCATCAGCAAACCCTCTGTAACTGGTCAGATAAGAGAATAGTTTAGGCTTTGCTACTGTTACCACCACTCAGCTCCAGCACTGTTCTGGAAAGCAGTTACAGAAGACAGGTAAACAAACTGACGAGTTGTGTTCTAATAAAACTTTTACTTACAAAAAAAGCAGTGAGCCAAACTTGGCTTGCAGGCTATAGTTCGCTAACCACTAATTTAAGTTATTAAGCAGAACTTCTCCTAATGTTAATATTTAACTATGAAACTCATGCATTCATTAAATCAACACTGTAGTGCCCATATAGGATAAGCAAAAGGAATAGTAAATATTTTTTCAATGAAATAAATCCTACTATTTTATTTTTACCCATGTCAGTAATTTTAGGAAATTTTATTTCCATTATCTTCAAACCTCACAACCACCTAAAAGATGTTTATTACCATTTTCACTGTAGCTAAAAAAAATTCTACTGAATAAACAGGTAATCTAAAGGTTACAGCATGATTTTGTGGAAGAGCCAGGAACTGCACCCCCATGTATCTGACTCCAAAGATTGCATCTGTGTGGAGGAATGGCTATTTTCAGTGACTTTCCACTGGAGGTGGCAGGTATAATTCTTGCCCCTAGGGGTTTTGGATCTCATGGGCACATTTTCTGATCCATGGTATCAGGTGTTTTTACCATCACTCCTGCTGCACCTTCACATCTGACTCAAGTACATTTACTGGCATTAATATACAGAAACTCAGATTTACATGTTCAAACAAGGTATGAGACATATACAAATTATTAACAGAATCACTGGATTACCTATCCAATATGCTGGCTAGTGAAGTAAAAACAATATGACAAACTCTGATAAAATTTTGGAAAATGAAAGGAAAAACCTTAAAAATTATGTTTTAGTTATTATTACTTACCAATAACAATGCCACCAATGGCTCCAGCATTCTGTATGTTGCGTGCCTTTTCTGCAAACATGCACTGCCCTCTTTGTATCAAAGCAATTTTTCCCATCACTGCTTCAGGGTTAGTAAGTTCTGAACAACCATTGTATGGTTTACTGCTTGCAACAAATCCTCTTGTCTGTCAGAAATAAAAAGTTACTTGAACAACTTATCTTCTCAAATCACTACCATGTCATTAAAATTCAATATCTAAAGCTTTAAGGAGATCTTTCTTTTCTAATGATAACACATCCAATACACATTTAGCATAAATTTCTGCTTTCAACATTTTGCATATCGTAGTCCCCAACCAATATTTCTACTGTACTTTGCAGTTTATAAAAGCATTTTTACATAAATTACTAAACCTGATCTTTATAATGGCTCTGAGTTAAATACAGATAACATATACATTTTACATATGGTGAACTGAGATTCAGCTTTCATAATTTGCTCAAGGTCACGATGTTAGAAAGTGGTAAAGTTGGAGCCTGTTGGCAGACTCACTATATACCCAAACCCATACTTCAACAGCTGAGAACCATTTTTAAACCATCACTGGTAACCAGAAAAATTTTTGAAAGAGGGGAAAAAAATGGATTTAGTGTACATAAATCTGCAAGCAATTCTTCTTCCTAGAAAAATTAAATCCACCAGAGAACTGATTTTAAAGATGTGAGTGTAAAGATGTTTTAAGATCCTTCTTGCTCTTAGAATGTAAACTTCATGAGGGCATGAACCTTCACTGGTTTTTATAAACATGACATACAGTAAAAATCTAAAATAGTGCCTAGAGTAAGAGTTGTTGAACAAGTCAATCAATTATAAACCTACATAACTTTAAAGTATACACTAGAAAAAGTTTAAATTAGTGGTAACAGAGTTCAAAGACCGGTTTTAGACGATCAGGATACTTGGGTTCCGGTCTAGCAGCTCGCTAGCTTCGCTCCCAGTCAGTCAGACAGCTACACTCGTGAGCTCCGCTCCACACGTAGAGTAAACTACCAGGGCAAGCTAGCTTAGTGGCCTTCCAAGTTGGCTCCATGGGGCCTCAGCAGCTGAGGCTCTTCACAGCCACTTGTCCAGAGCACTTTCGCTTTAGCTGTTCTCTACATCAAGCCTCTGAGTTAGATTTTTGTTCAAAGAAAGGTTCCAGTAGTTTAAAAGCTTGAAAACCATTTTTAGATAAGCTAAAGGCTTTGAATTAAGAGAACAGTATCTGAACAACATTTTAAGTAAAATTCTATAGACATATTGCAAACATACATTATGACTCAATATTTTCAAGATATGCTTTTAAATTTAATCTCTTTTAATCTAGGAGACTAAATATTTAGGTGTTTTAAGTAAGTTAAAAGTACTAAAATAGAAAAGAGATTAAGAAATTAACAACACTTAAGTACTATCCAAGTTCAACCTCAACAATATTATAAGTGCACACACCTCTTTATGTTTAGACAGGTCTGGCCCAAACTGTGCTGGACCAGCAGTTAATACTACCCGGCCAAAAAATGGGTGGGAAATAATCTGTACAGCTCGTGGAGGGAGCTGCTGTTCTTTTTGTTGTTGACTTGACAATTCAATCATCTCCTGCATAAACCTCAATCCATCTTCTGCATCAATCGAACTAGCAGCCTAGGAAAGAAATAAGATTAATTTTATCCTTTCTGGAAACTTTCAACTTTTTTATTTCTTAAATACTTCTGCAAATTTACTCCAAAATTTCTCCTTTCAGCTTTGGTCTCTACCAAATATTTATGGCCTATTTCTTCTCATAAATATTGCTTCTGGAAATATTTTCTGAATATAACATCTGAAATTTTTATTAATGTCTCTTTCACTGTTCTATAAACCACTTTTGATACAAACTGAGAACTGGACTTCCAACCAAAGGCTCAAATGCTCACTTTGCCTGTTTTCTCCCCTGGCTGCCCTTTTAAGAAATAAACCTCATACCTGACTTATACTCCCTTTCTTTGAAAGTATGAACCAACAATCAGATTATATTCAAGGCATAAGTATCAGTCACCTATTACATCCTAGACCTTGACTAGGCACTGGGGATATAGTCTTTTACTTTAAAAAGTTTATATCTAGAGAAGTAAAATTAGCTACAATAAAATTTCTCAAGAGGGAAAGTAGACTAGGAACATAGACAAGGGAATGAATGACTGATTTTGTCAGTGTGTATCTGGGAAGTATTTGGAATGACTCAAATTGCATCTTAACAGAGGAAAAGTTGAAGAGTGCCTGACTATAGTAGGAAAAAGATGAATTTCTAACACTTTACAGAAAAAGTCAATGGAACTTGATAGGAGATAGAGGAGAACAGAGAAGAGCTGGCAGACAGAAATTCAAGCCTATCTGAGATTTCTAGTTTTGGTGACTTAAGAGAATAACGTCAGGGCTGACTAAGATAGAGAACAAAAATGAAGAGAGAGACAGACTGTGGTGGAAGCAGGGAGAGAGAATTAACTCAGGTTTGGTCAGACTGAGATCTGAGATGCAAAAATGCATGACAGGTAGATTAAAGCTGGGTTTAAGAAGTAAAGTTCACAATCAGGATTACATACAGATGACCCACTGGAGAAAGAAGTAGCAGCCCACTCCAGTATTCGTGCCTGAGAAATCCCATGGACAGAGGAGCCTGGTGGGCTACAGTCCATGGGGTTGCAAAGAGTTGGACACGACTGAGCACGCACGCATACACATGTATCTAAGAAATCACATGTACAAAGATGATGGTGGAGCCTGCAGAAATAGATGATACTATTGAAGAAGAGTACAGAAAGAAAAAAAATATGGTGCAGATTCTTTGACAGTGCCTACACTGAGAGGCTGTGCCAAGAAAGCAGAGTTGCAAAGGAATCTACAAAATACTGAACAGAGTATTTGCAAAGAGGTTGGGATGCCCTGGAAGACAAGAAAGGGGTATGTTCTAAAAAGAGACCAGTCAATAGTTACAAAAAAGTTCAATCATATGAGGATGAAGGGGCCACTAGCTGGCAACTACGTCACTGGTGACCCAGGTGAAAGCAGTGTCATTAGAGATGTCATTCCCTCTGCTGGGACGAGTGAAACACAAGGAAGCAGACAGAAGATTCTTTAAGGAAGGATGGATGTGGCAAGAATAGAGATGAGAGAGAAACCCAAGGGGAAGATGAGGTAGTGAGAAGGTTGAATTAGAGATTAAGGGATATCTGAATATGATTCTACTTCGTTGAAATTATTTCTCAAATTGTACTTCTCTCAGAATTAAGGTAGGAATAAGGTGGACAATTTAAAGATCTCAGGTTATGAAAACTTTTAAATCAAAAATCTACAAAAATTTCCCAAAGACACATGTTATGTTGCCTAGGCATAGATAAATAAATGCAAATTTTGATTAATGAATGAAATATTTAATACTCCTTGGAAACTAAAACAGTGTAAAATAGAGATATAAATATTAAAACTAATTATTAGCTTTTAAGACTATGTTCTAAATAGTGGAAAGACAAGAGAATGAGAAACAGAAAACTTAGACGTGAGTCGGTGTTTGACCTTATCAACACAGGCAAACCAGCAATCTATTTGTGATTTAACTGATCTATACTATAAATCAGGTTGAATTAAGATGGCTTTCCAAGATACTTCCAAGTACTAAAATTCTGATCCTCTTACTTTAAACCATACATTTGAGGTTTTTAAAAAGCCAAGTGTCATTATATTATTAAAGCTAATGAGACCAAACAGGATAGAGACCATAGCTAATTAGTGCAGCAATGTCTTACTTGGATTGCATGTTGAACCAACTGGACTCTCCCATCTTTGAGGTGAATCAAACTCACCCCCATCTTCTTCAAGATTTCTAAATGCTCAGGGTTAGTGGCCATGAAATCTCTGGCTCTCAGAGGGGGTTTAGCTCCACTCCTCAAACTCTCCTCTCTGCTAAAAGTAATTATAGGCAAGGCTTAAAAAACTACAAATCAGAATTGGGAAAAAACATAAGGCAAAATAAAAATAATGTTAGATATTTGCAGAATTGCTAGTTTTAAACTAGTGAAAAATGGAATAGAAACTGTTATTTACCTACATACAACTTAGGTTTTTAGTAAGTGTTATAGCTTTCGAATATATTTTACAGTTATACAGTTATCAAAAGCTTGTATATTATCGGTAAGGCAGTATTAACAGCATTATAACCATCTGAAGGTACAGGACAGCTTGGCTTGGGGATTTATTACTATTTATTTCTCCCTCAAAAAAAATCCAGACATTTCTCTCAATATTTGAAAAGCAGAACAATGATTATATCACTGAATAACATTCCCTTAAATTTTCTTTTAATTTTCTAGTGATAGCTTTTCTAATTAACTATTTAGACAAAAACGAACTCATTAAGGTAAAAATTTTTATTCAGCAACCAAGAATAAGTATCTCATCAAAAAAATCAAATCAAAACACTGCAATTTTTCTTATAGAGAAACTACAGATAAAAGGAAAAATATTTTCTACATAAACAAGATGTGGAAATATTTGATGAAACTATCCTGTGTAAAAATGTGCTGTGGAAGTTACAAACTATTATATGCTGCCAAAATTACTTGGTTCATTAATCAAAAGATATACAGAAATTTCCATAATAATAAAGATATTACTGCTGAATAAACTTTGCTATCTAACTTTATTCACCAATACTTTTAATTTTAATCCATTAACATACATACCTTCTCAATATTTTGGTTCTAAGTGAATGTATTCTTGGCTACTCCTTACATTCTCTATCATTTACTGAGAATTAATTTTGGTACTAATAAATATAAAATAAGACATCTTACACTCTGATGATGCCTCTAGGACAGCTCTTGTCCACCACATTTTTCAAGGGTTCACGGATGCTCTGGGCATATAGTGGATCGTTAGGGAAGAGGATCTGAGTGTTTGGACAAGTCCAGTCAAAGTTACTGTCATCCAGTTCTGTATATTCTGAAGTCTAAAAAGAGAAAAGAATGTTATGTAAGTACAAATAACTATTTTACTTAATATTATAGTTTGTGCAAAGGAAATATTAAGTGGAATGTAAGTATACACAGGATACAATGTAAGAAAACATCAAAGGTATTCTTCAACCACACTATATTTATTGAATTGTAGTCATGGATTACTTTTCACTTAGAAAAACAAAACAAACAGATAGGAGTAAAAAATAACAAGATATTTAATTCAAAAACATAACCTACTGTGTTCTTCTTAGAGACTCTTTGATTTGTAGTGGAGAGCCAAAGAGGTAACAGATGAGCTTCTGTTGTAAAAATGTAATCTTCTATGTCAAAAATAATGTCTTCTTTATCCGCAAATAACAGGTAAAGATATTTAAACATTTCCGCCAAGAAGAAGGAATCCATTCTAAAATAAAAGGTTACAGACAAATCTAAGTACGTAAAAATATCCAAATGCCAGCTATCTGAAAGCTGCAGAATCAAGGTCAGCAAGCCTGTCCACACCAGCACAGACGTCCAAAGAACGACAGAACGTATCTACCCCCCAGTGGTAGCGGCCTGGACTCCAAGCATGTTCCACGGAAGTAAAAAGGACCAGGGGCTGCCTACCACACAAGTACACTAAATCTTCTCAAAAATGCAGACAATATTTTCCTATGGGCCTTCTGAGAAAAGAGTTTGGCATTTCTTCTACAGAGAACCAACATCAGGGAGGTAATGCAGATGAACTTTACTACTGAGAACCTTATAGGAATCTTCAATTAACATTCATTGAACTGGATAAAGTAATGCAATTTTGAGCAGCTCATTACACAGCCATTTAAGTGATAAACAAGAAGGCTTTAAAAGTAATCATTTATGAAGTTACATGAAAAAAGTACAACACAAAATCATATGGACTATGATCATAACCTTGTAAATACTGAAATAGTTCTCAAGAAGGGAATATGAATAAAGGAAATTAAAAACATGTGACTTTACAAATGATTTAATGTTATAATGTTTTAATAAACATTTTAAAGAAAAGCTTTAGTAAAAAGTGGTAGAAAAAGAGCATGGTTATATGGAGTTACAGTAACAAGGAATTTAAGTAAATGTGCTACATTCCAAAGCATTTGAGCTTTTAGCAGTTACTAGACAGGCTGCACAGTTTCATAAATCTGGGCAAGCACAATTCCTGGCATACAGTAGGCACTCAATAAATGTTTTCAAATGCAAGTTTAAACAGCATTACAAAAGAATGAAATGGAGAGGAAGCTGGACAGAGTGGTTAGGATCTGAGGCTTTCGGAATAGAAAATACCTTCTAAAGGCTAGCTATGACACCAAGGGGATACTACATAAGGACCATGAGCTCCAGTTTATTCTGAAAGGACATAATATATGCTTATAGTGGTGTAAAAACTAAATGAGATTCTATAATGTCAACTATTTAGCATAGCACTTGGCATGCACATGAGCTCAAAATAGAACTATCATAATTTTTCCCATACATAAATGATGTTTTATTTTAGAACTCACCTATAATGTTTCAAAACTTTTTTGAACATTTTGGATGTTAATCATTATAGAATAGATAAAATACTTTCCTGTCAACCTGCAATACACTTATGGTAATTTAAGTTTTTCTGGAGGGCTGATAGTTACTTTCATGAGCAAATGCTAGTTTGAGAACTGTAAACTAATGTGCAAGATGTTGATTTTTAAAATTTTATTTATTTTTTAATTGGTGGGAAATTATGTGTTGGTTTCTGCCATAAAACAATGTGAATCAGTCATAACTATATATATATAACTATATAACTATATAACTATATAACTATATAACTATATATATATATATATATATATATATATATATATATATCTTCTTTCCATCCCCACCCCCCATCTCATCCCTCTAGGTCATCACAGAGCACAGGGCTAGGCTCCCTAGGTTATTTAGCAACTTCCCACTATCTATTTTACACATGATAGTGTATATATGGCAAGATGTTGATTTTTGGCAAATTCCACAGATGATTATGGAACAGATGATTTGTAAACACTCAGAAAAGAATAGACATGGTAAGATCACTGTAGTATGAGTTAGGTAAAGCTAGCGAGTTTGAGTATTATATCACATAATCTATTTTGTACTTAAAAACCGTAACTATACACATAAATGCAAACACACAGCCATTAAAATTGTCTGGAAGACTGTTTCTAATACTGCCAACAGTGATAATCTTAGGATGGCAAGTAGGGAAAGTATTGCAGGAAAATTTTCATATTCTTTTTTGTCATTTAAATTCTTTAAGTGATCGTTATTAGAAAGAAGCAGATATTTCTACTTTGAAAACTGGGAGGGAGGGCAGGGAGGGGAGACATAGGTGAGCTAGACAATAAGGTAGATCTGTAGGGGAATAAGCAACCAAATGCAGAGTATTAGATGGAAATTTTTATAGCATACTTATCTAAACCCAAAATTACTGAAAACAGTTGTTTAGCTAATATATTTTTAGATGACTGAGATGATAGTTAAGCCTTCTTTTTGGTCTAGATACACACACAAAAAAAACCCAACAAAAAGAAATTCTGCTGGAATAAGTATTAAGCCCCAAGTTTACACTTCAAAAAAAAAAAAAAAAAGTCAGCTTAAGAGCAGAATAGAGAACACCCATTTGTCAGCAAGTCATTGTTAAGTATCTGAGGTCAACTAGTCACAAGTTCACTGTGTGTTGAACATAACAAAGCTGCTGAGAAAATCTAAAGCACATCTAATAACACGGCATGACGAAGATTAGTAGTTCTCAACCTTTTGTTGGACCAAATGCATCCAAGAGATACAATATTACCATAAGGAAAAGTGGACAGAGGAAGCAAGCCCATCAGCCCCTCAGAAAATGACCCATCCTGTGGCTGAGCCCAGATGGTAATAGTGCTGCGGGGCCAAGCACACCTCAAGTACCGTTCCTTCTGGACATGACATTTTAAGAGACACTCTATATATTGGAATACAATCAGAATGGGACAAAGGCAACAATAAGAGATCCAGAAATGTAATGTAAGGAATATTCAGCAGGAGGAAAAAAAGGATGCTAAATTTAGAAAAAATGGAACTCTCCAGGCATAGTAAATCATGTTTTCCCCTCTGTAATTCCTCCACCTGCTACTTTTCTTTCTACTCTAGCACACATCAGGCTTCCCGGGGCTCAACAGTAAAGAATCTGCCTGCAACACAGGAGACTTGCAGGAGATGCGGGTTTTATCTCTGGGCCAGGAAGATTCCCTGGAGGAGGAAATGGCAACCCACTTCAGTATTGTTGCCTGCGAAACCCTATGGAGAGGAGCCTGGTAGGCTACATAGGTTCACATAAAGCTGGACAGAACTGAGTGACTTGTGATTCTTTTATACCCCCCTTCCTCACTTACTACAAGTCACAGGAGGGCAGGGACTAATTCTAATTGATCTTTTCATCTTCTTACCTAAGAGTAGCATCTGGTATACAGTAGACAGTTAATTACTGTTCCTTCAATGAGTTGCCAGCATAGCATATAGTCAAAAGCCTATCTGCCTTGATTAGCATTAATCTAACTAATTCTGCGACCTCGGACAAGTTCCCTAATCTCTCTGTGCCTTGGTTTCTTCACCTGTTAAATGAAGATCATAACAGAAATTATACTGCAGAGGGATGTTGTAAGGATCAAAGGAATTAAACATAGAAAGTGTTGAATTAGAAGAGTGCGTGGAATGTGGGAAGCAGCCAATAAGTGCTACAGATAAACACACGAGCCATCTGCTTTCATTTCTTGCTGTCTTCTGTGTGCCTGCTTCCAGAAACCTATCCATTTCTTATCAGTTGTAGTCAAGGAAGAAGCTCTCAAGTCTAATCAACTATTACCTGAATGCTCTGAGAGAAGGACTGAGGGACAGCTCTGTGAGTGTTGTGTTTCCCCTGTCCCTAGTTCCTCTGCGGGAAACTCCTTTTTTACCACTTTCCTTTTTCTAGTCCTGATCCTTCAGGACACAAGTTGCTCTAGAAACCTTTAAGTGACTATCACATCCCACTCTGCATTTCACATCCCTTTAATATGATCCAGAGCACGAATACAATACTTTAAAGCCTGTTTATCTGCCTACCCCAGGGATTCAAAGATAGAAAGGACATGTCTTTATATCTGTAATCTTCAAAAACTAGTATAACTCTGGCACATAAGACATTTTAGTAAATATTTGTGGAATGAACATTTGCTAACCAAATGAACAAATTTTAATGTTCATTTAGACATGTGTTGCTATGTTCTGAACAGTTAAAACAACCAAATCGAATGATCCTGGAACAACTGGAATTTTACTGACTTTCACATTAACCAAAGCATGCTTTTTGTATCTTGAATGCTCCATGTCATCTACATCTATCCAGTATCCAATAAAATATAACCTGCCAACAATCCTCCATAGCCCTCCAAATCAGTAACAGAATAAGAATGCACACAGTAACCACCACACTGCTTTTGACGGAACAGGAATCATTATCCAGATCATTTATCACCACCTGATGAGTTCTAACGTTTTACAGAGCAGAGAAAACTACTAACAAAGAAGAAAATTCCAACTTTCCTAATACTCCAAAGACCAAGCTTCTGATGTTTACCAATCATTTATTCATCTACTTAAAAATCATTTGAGCACTTACTATATGCCAGTCACTATGGCAAAAAGACAAACTTTCAAACAATTTAAAATAAGCCCATTTAAGAGTTAAAAAAAAAAGCACAATGAACTAAGATTTACATCTTCAAATACCCTTGTAAAAGCATTTAGCATATCTGAAAGCTGACTAAGAATCGTATTTTGTGTTGTTTCAGAGTTACCCTGAGGAAAGCGGAGGTTAGGAATTGTTTTACCTGTCCTCATGACTTCCAGTACGAACATCCTTCATGGCAGCAAATCCGCAAGGCACTCTAGCATATTTATTTAAATTTTCAATAAGTGTTTTCCCTACTTCAAGGTAGTAAGGATCTCCTGTAGCCTATTAAAAAGGAGAATATATGTATACATATACATAGCTTATATAGTACCATAAAACCATTCATTTATCAAATATTTATTGAGCACCTACAGGGTGCCAGGCATTGTATCAGGCACTGGAACACATGTTACATGGAACCTAGTTCTGCAAATACACCATGAATCTGCTTTATGAATTTCTTAAATACGCAACTGGAAAGTAGCACAACTGTACATCTTAGGCTTTAAATGAAATTTCTGATGCCCAGAAGGGATGCCTGGCTGAAAAAAGGCAAGAGACATGCTTTAGAAAGCAGCTCTAGAATATAAAATTTCTCTTTAATGCAATGCTTAACAAATGTTTTGAAAAGGCATAAAGCTTAGATGTCAATTCTTACATCTTTCAATACTCTATGAACTAGATGAATAAGAATCATGATATATGCAACCATTATAACATTAAACAAGGACTTTGAAAACCCAATATTAATTATTATAAGATAATGAGTTATCCAACAAAGAATGAAGGCTAAATAGCAAAAAGAGAGTTAAATTAGCTTACTTTATACAAGAAGTAGGTACTTTCTGCAAATTCTGGCCTTAAAGGATGTTGAGCCCAATGTACCCTGAAATCTGTGGTAAATGCCTAGACAAAACAACATACAAATATTCATAAAAGTGTGATTTTAAAAAATAGTTCTGTAATATGTAAATTAGATCACAGACAAGTAAAAATAGTTAAAATATTGATAACAATCTATGAAATGAAAATTTCATTGCTTAAAATCACAATTCACTTTTGTGAGGTTGTTATTTTTATCAATTAAATGGGATTGCTTTTTTAAATGATCACTTTGGCTATTAGGAAGCTTAGGAAAAATTATGACTCAGTAATGCCACTACACACGTCCTGATGGCCTACATAATTGTGTTTTCTTTCTTTTTTCCTTATTGCCACTTTTTTCTCGTAATTATTAAGTCCCTCACCCTCCTATTTCTATTTTAGCATATGCACTCTTTTTCTTTTTTTTAAATAAGAATCTCAAATCCTCTGTGGCTTGAAACAAATACTTCAGGAAGCCTTCTGTATTGGTGAGATGCTTAGATATCTCACAAAGAGTTCGGTCATATACAAATTTGGAAAATTTTTATGGTACATTTCTGGAAAGCCAAAAGGCATGCTATTAAAATCCTGCAGTGTCAAGCTAGCAAGAACATTTATTACTAACATATAAAAACCAGGGAGAATAATTTTTAAACAGCATTGAAGAGCTAACATTTCCAAATATCCAGGGAGCACATGTGATCAGCAAAGCATATTCAATATATGTAGTTTTCATAAAATACACTTTAGAAAATGAAAAGTACAAAAGTCTCCCTAGCCGGCAGGTATGTGTCAAAGCTAGAATGAGACAACATGCAATGGTATGGATTAGAAAAGGTTGAGAAATACCAATCTGGAATATTTTTTAATATTAAATTAATAAACTGTCAGCATTATCCTAAACTAGACTTCTCTTAATACATAAGGAAAAGGAAAAACATACACTGTGTAAACCCAAAATATATTAATTGAATAAACTATTTAACCAGGAAAAATAAAGAAGAACCAATCTTGAAAATGACATTTTCTACCTTTAAATTATTAATCTATAGATTGAAGTAGAATTCCAAAGATGATCTGCTTACCTCTGGTAGAAAATTGTGTTTTTTAATCACCTGATATAACATTTCATGAGTTTCAATAGCAGGTCTAATATCTCCCTTTAAGACCTAAAAACCAACAATAACAACAAAATAACCTAGTAAAGCATGAGTTGATGTTATTTGCAATCATTACATACACAGAAAAATCCAGGTTAACACAAATTTGAGTGTGAATCTGTTTTGATAATTCAATTTTGGAGATCATAAATACACTTAATCATTCTACTTCAGTATTAAGAGAACTATGAGGTTTTGTTGTTTTTTTTTTTTACCTGCAAACCTGGAAAAAAGGCAAGCAAAGCATCCATCCAAGTCCGAGCATTCAGCATTGGCTTGTGGATATGAACATCAAGTAGAAGAGGTGGCTGGCTTATGTACCTCATTATGGCATCATAGTGCTAAAAAAGGTCACAATATGTGTTCATGAAAGTCGATAAGAAAAGATGTACTGTTCTAAATACAGCATATCATTAAATAGCACTGTGAAGAAATGAAACCTGAATTTACATATGAATAAATTTACTAAGGAATTGTTACCTAAACTAATGCATCTCATCAGTGCTGTCACTCTTATGGTCCACTACCTCTGTCTTTTATGGTCTTAAAAATTTTTCTCCCCTTCTTTCATCTTCTCCGAGACATTTCTCAGCCTTGACAACAGGTTGAGCTGTCAGAGTCAATGAATGAAAACAAACCAACAAAAAAAATAGTATCTGTCCCTATGTACCTCAATAAAATCTTGTTATAATCTAATAAATGATATATGTAATACTGTTTCTAAAAATATTCAACTGATGACTTATTAGGACTTTTACTAATAAAAAATTCTCATTCTCTGGATAAGGAATAGAGGAAAATATCTAAGTTACTTGCCCAAAATCACAAAACCAGTGGTACAACCAGGATTTAAACTCAGACAGGACAGCTCCCATACTTTCAACCACTATATTGCACTATGCCACAATAACGTGAGTAAACCCATGAGAGGGCAAAGATATGGTAAATTATTTTGAAAAGAATGTGGTGACACAGTTGATGAGTTTATTCTAATTAATTTCAGTTTGATTTAATTACAGACAAAGGCAATCCAATTAGGTTCAATAATCTCCTCCTTCACTCCTAAAAATATGCCTATGAGTCTGATCCAGACTTAAAGATGTACAGACCTGCTTTTGAAACAAATACTCACTGGTTTGTTCAAGTCTCTAAAGTCCCGATACTTGGTGTGGTCAAGGACCAAGTCAAACTTCCTAACTATTCCAAAAAGAATTAGAATACAAAGGAGAAAGCTAACTAGTAACTAATTTCAATAAATTCTCTTCCTTGTATAAAAGATTAGGTAAAACTCGTATCTACATATTTTATTACTTATTGGAAAATCTTGAAAACTTCTGGTGATAGAAGAAAATAAAAACTACTTTGCAAACTAGTTTTTGAAATGTATGTAGCTTTTTACCCTGTCCCTGTCCAACATCAGAGAATACTGATCAAAAAACTACTATATATTTTTAAATAATTTTTCAAAATATCACTCAAATGACTGAATTTCTATCAAAATCTGGCAAATTATAAATTGGCTCTAAAATTAATACAAAATTGGAACAACTTACTGTATTAAATCTTTCCAGAAAGCTGTCATCTCCAAGTAAGACATAGGCTTTCAATAGATATTCATAATACGAATCAATCCCTGCTCCAACTCCACTATCTATGGAAAATACATATAAAATGTGATTTTTTATTAAACAAGTCTTAAAAATTCTTTACAGAGTATAAGGTACTAACACACTAAGAATGAAAAATTAGTCTAAATATGAAACTGTCAAAAGTAAAAATTATACATTTATAGAAACATTAACCCTACTGTATGACCAATAGGTTCCTTTACTGATATTAGTTTATATGTTTAAAAAAAATTCTTGCTTTGTAAAATTGGCTACAGAAGTCTTATTTAAAAGCCAGAGATACTAGTTTTAAGAATTTTTTTAAAGCTGATTTTCTAATGAGGAACTTCAAAGAGGAAGCACTAGAGGTTATATTATGCAATTATTATGTAATTACTGGATCCTTTATCAGTTAGCCATCAATCTTCAGTTATAACGGATATGAAAACAACACTGCTGCTGTTTAGAGGTGACAGTTCCATTGCTGAAGCTAGCATAACGGCTGGCTTTTTCCTCCAAGATCATCACAGAAGACCAAAGAAGGAAAATAACAAGAAAACTGTATGAACTTGGTGGGGGATGGGGAGGGGAGGGATTTAGTTCTGGAGCCGAAGGCACCCAAGCATAGCTATAGAAGGATCAACCAGCAGAAAACCTGCTGGAATTTTGCTCTGGTTTCTCTCCTACCACTGCCTTAAGATAACCACACCTCCTCCCACCCCTGCTACAACTTAGACATACATTCTAGGCAGCCTCAAGAATAAAATCGGAGCAGCACAGAAGTCCTATGTAAGGAACTGAAATAAAAAAGAGATGGGAACTAATTTTAGATACTCTCTTCCCAACCTTTTCTCCTTCAAACTCTTAAAGCTAATGAATGACAATCTAAGCACAATTACAACTATAACCTTAGAAATCCCTATATCCAGGGTATACTCCAGGCCAATCATATCATTATCTCTAGGAGTCCAGGCACTGGTATTTTTAAAAACTTCTTAGAATCCATCCCTATGATAACTGGGGCTGATAGGAATTGGAATCTTTCCCACAAAGTAGGTGACAAGTCAACATGAACTTATAGAACAAAAACATTTAAGATGCATGACTTTTTAAAAATAAGAAAGTATTGGAGTAAGAGTTTATCTGAGGTACAAAATATTACAACAGGCAAACCAAGATTTAAAATTAGTCTAATAAACACATTAAAGAGACAAGAAAGAGATTAGCAATACAAAAGAAGAAATTTTTAACCGAGAAGAAATTATGGAATAAAAACATAAGAAAATTCCATAATGGATAGGATACACAGCATCTACGATGTAGCTGATGAACAAATCAGCAAACCCAGAAGACTACATGTAATAGCAGGAATTGCAAAAAGAGATAAAAATGAAAGAGATAAAATATCTTAAAAAAAAAATCAACTTTCAGCAATGAAAAACACAGATTTTAAATTGAAAGGGCCCACAGAATACCAAAAGGAGAAATAAAGAAAATTCAACACCTAAAATTATTGTTACATTTTCAGAAACTTTGATATTCTTAATTTTCTGGAGAAAAATCAGATTACAAATAAGAACATAAAAATCAGAATAACAGGTTTTTAAAAAAGAAATTTAAAAGACAATGGCTCCCCTGGTGGCTCAGGGAACCCGCTTGCCAATGCAGGAGGCACACATTTGATCCCTAGGTCAAGAAAATCCACTGGAGAAGGAAATGGCAACCCACTCCAGTATTCTTGCCTGGGAAATCCTTTGGACAGAGCAGCCTGATAGGCTACAGTCCAGGGGGTTGAAAAAGAGCTGGACAAGACTTAGCGACTAAACAAGACGACAACAGAGTTGTATTTTCAAAGATTTGAAAAGAAAGAACTTGAACAGAAGATTATTTACAGCCAAACTTTCTCAAATATGAAAGCATAATAAAATTATTGTTGGGCATCTACGGCCTCAGAAGCTATTAAAAGCTACTGAAAATTGGTTGGGATAAATATTTATACAAGAAGAAAGGCAAAAAAAAAAAAAGGCAAAACTAAGAGATATTGCAAGAAATATACAAAGTACAGGTGACAAAATACCTCTTTAGAGTTGAATATTTATAATGAAAGAGGGAGGAGGGGCAGCACTAAGATCAAAAGAGAAAACGTTCATAACCAAAAAGAACTAAATATCTATAGGATACTAACAGTGGATGAGGGTTGGAACAGAGGGGGAGAAAATGGCAGGGCAGGCTGAAGCTCATGTCTCACTAGAAGGTAAATATAGGTTTCAATTAAAAACAAAAGGATTAAAAGGAAACAGAAAAGGTGAGACACACTGAAATAATAATTAAGATAGTATAAATAAATCCAATATATTAAAAATGCCAATAAACATAAATAAAGTCACTAATTAAAAGACAAAGACTGACAAAATGATTTTTTAAATCTATAAATTTTACAGGAAATAGCATGAGCATCTGCAAAGATTGAAAGTAAAAGAGCAGAAAAAGACCTATCAAGGAAATACTAAGCAAAATAAAGCTGACTTAGCTGTATTACTAACAGACTAAACAGACTTTAACAGAGTATCATTAGAGATGATCACTACATAATGATGACACGTTCAACTATGAAGAGATAGCAATTTTAAATTAACGCAGCCAACAAAATATATAAAGTAAAAATACAACTACAGGGAGATACTAATAGGTGCACAATCACTGTCAGAAATTTTATCAACCTTCCTTAATACACCAAGCAAAAAGAAATTAGCAAGGAACTGCACAACATTATTCACTGAGAAATTGACACTATATAGAACTCTATATTCAACAATTAGAAAATACACATTTTTTTCTTAGGCACAAGTGAAAGTTGACCATGTTCTAGGCCAAAAGAAAACCTTAATAAATTTTGAAGGATAGGTACCACACCGGAGAAGGCGATGGCAACCCACTCCAGTACTCTTGCCTGGAAAATCCCATGGACGGAGGGGCCTGGTAGGCTGCAGTCCATGGGGTCGCGAAGAGTTGGACACGACTGAACGACTTCACTTTCACTTTTCACTTTCATGCATTGGAGAAGGAAATGGCAACCCACTCCCGTGTTCTTGCCTGGAGAATCCCAGGGACGGGGGAGCCTGCTGGGCTGCCGTCTCTGGGGTTGCACAGAGTCGGACACGACTGAAGCGACTTAGCAGCAGCAGGTACCACACAGATCATAAGTATCATATAAGTATCAATATTAATTCTTTAAAAGAACAAGTAACTCAGTAGAAAATGGACAAAAATGTAAGAATATCCACATTTTTTAAAAAAAAGAAACACATAGCCAATATATATGAAGATGTGTTCAAATCATCAGTGCTCAAAGAAATACAAATTGAGTCACCATGGGAAATCATCTATACACTCATTTGACTGGCAAATCTTTGAGTGTGACAATATAAAGGGCTAGAGAGGATGCTGATCCACAGCAGCTCTTCTATGTTGCTGGTGAAAGTATAAAGTGGTATAAAGTGGAAACAACTTTAGCAAACAATCTGACATATTTCCTATCATTGAACTTTAACTTAGCCTATGATCTAAAAATTCTACCTAGATATATAGACAAGAGAAACTTTTATATATGTACAACAGAAGAAACACAAAAATACTCATAGCACTAGGGTTCACAAGAGTAAAATCCTAGAAACAACCTAAATGCTTATAAATTCATGGTTTATTCACACAATAAAGTATTATGCAGCAGTCAAAACAGAATGAACTACATCATACAACAAAGTGTAAGAATTTTAGTAATATAATTTTAGATGAAAAGTCTCAAAAGGTCTCATATGACATGATATCCTTTTATAAGTTAAAAATAAAACAAAAATATGTACATTAAGGAATACATATGGATGCATAAAAATTTATAAGAGGAAAGCAAGGGATTGACCGATACAGATCAGAATGATGGGTATTTCAGTTAGAGGCAGACCTATGAGATTACAGAGGTATGGTGAGATTACAGAGGTATGGGATTACAGAGGTATGGAGAGTTGAGGACCATAAGCAGAAGTAGTGTATTGTCAAGTTAGCTGTTTTTGTAACGGATGGTCAGTCTGTGAGTACTTAATATATTATTAAAAATGAACTAAATAAAATGAGCCATGCATGGACCAATGATGAGAGTGAATTAAGAAAAAAAAACTGCAAAATTCTGAAGCCAGGATTCAGATCAGTTTTAGGAAAGGACCATTTAGATAACACTGAAAATTTTCAGACAGTACTGAATAGAGGCAATAATTTTAAAATGTTCACATTAATATTTATATAATTTCATTTATTTAAATATGGGCAGTTATTTTTTATTTTATACATAAGCCTTTAGAAACAGAGAAATGTATAAATAAGAAACAAATTTCATTAGTAATAGTCTAGTGTATTTCCATTTGTTTATGCCTGTTTAATAGGGTTCTTATAAAGATCATATTTTTATATGATTCTACATCCTGTTTATTCATAAAACATTGTTATATGTTTTGTCCCCTGATCCAATTCAATTTAATAACTTACTACTCCCAACACTGATATAAAATAATTCTCAAACACTGATGTTACTCTTTACTGATGATCACTTAGACTGTTTCCAAGTTTTCCACCACCACAAATAATTTTATGTGATAAACATCTTTGGGAACAAATGATTTTCTACCTTTTATACTGTTTCCTCAGGCTAGATTCCCAAAAGTGAAATTTTTAATTAAAGGAATTAAAATCACATGAGTGAGCATTTACTTCATAGTAAGCATCACATATGCCAGGCACTGTTCCAAGTGCTTGTGCTGTGTGTGTGTCTGCACTCAGTTGTGACTGACTCTTTGCGACCCTATGGCCTGTAGCCCAGCAGGCTTCTCTGTCCATGGCATTTACCAGGCGAGAATACTGAAGTGGGTTGCTATTCCTACTCCAGAGGATCTTCCTGAGATTTTAACTCATTTAATCATAATAACTCTAACTGACTGCTGTACTGAAGAAACACAACATTGTAAATCAACTATACGATAAAAATTTTGCTCCAATAAAAATTATAAAAAAACACAAAAAACAAAAATCAACACAACAAAATCATAATAACTCTATGAAGTAAGTACTATTATTCTCATTTTCACGATACAGAGGCACACAAAGGTTAAATATTTTGCCCAAGATCACACGACTTGAATTCCAAAAATATGGCTCCAGGGTCTATGCTCTTAGTTACCATGCTATACACAATTTCGGGTGGTGGGAAAACAAAGAAAAAGATTGGTGATAGTACTATTAAATATAGATTTCCACTTATCACACTTTGATGTGAGATGGTTAAGGTATTCTGTTCCTCTGGTTCTCAAAGAAATTAGTTCTACTGTTTCATCTATAATGCTATAAGGTATGAAATAGGATATTAAGCCATCTGGAATAAGGGTGATATTTGGCACCAAGGAAGAAAATCTGGCTACATTTGTTAAAATTCTAGCAATCTTGTGAGAAATTATGCTTTATACTGTCATAAAGACTATTTTAACAAATAAAAATCCTTTATTTCCCAACCAATTTTAGAATGTGAAGGCTTAATTTGAAAAGTCCAACTTACATACCTTTTCGTACCCAGTCTCCAGTATGAATATTTATAGTCACACCCACTAAATTACTACTTCTCTGTCTTTTCTCCCAGAGAAAATCAAGAGCTTTTCTTGCATATTCCTGTAATAAAAAAAGAAAAGCATACTTGAAGAAATGCATATCTTTGCCAAACAAAAATCAAGGGCCCATAGTATACTTTTAGGATTAAGTAAAATTCCAAAGATGATCACTTATACATTAAATTTCCTCACAAGTAAAAAATATTGGCTCTTTCAGCCAAATGAGTCTAGTTAGAAAGAATGACTCTAAAAATGCTATTTAGTGCCAATGATCTCACTTTGAGACCATCCTTGTCCATCTACTCTTGTAGTACAGGTCCACATTTACACACAGGAATTATTGAAATAAAAACAGTTGGCATATATTAAAATAATTTATATCTTTTAATGCAAAGTGAAAATCTCCTTAGATATGCTCATTCACAAAACTGAAAGAGAATTTGTTAGTATGCCATCTCTGAAACAGAACAGGCATTTCAAATCCTACATTTTAAATAGCAGGCAACTTCATTAGTGAAGAGTAAGTAAAGCAACTAGCATTCATTTAACAGTACCAAAATTATAACCTTATAATAACATTTTTCTCTTTTCATTTATTTTTATCCCTTGGACATTAAATTTTCTGATTAAATTCTTGGCTTTGGATGAAAAGATGTTAAAAAAAACAAAAGCAAAGAACATGTACAAAAGAATTAAGTTAAAATTAATTTCAGAGCATGAATCTACTCAGCATTGCAGAAGTACTTCTATAAAAGAAATCATTAAACCAATTTGTCACTCTACAGATTTAAGAACAGGGTATAAAATAGTTTTCATTCTTGACTCAATCTATTTATGCTGAATTTATAAAACAAAGCAGCAACTTTACTTAATTGTGTAATTTCAGATCTGAAAAAATTTCATAAAGATTACATTTCCCTATTCCTATCTTATAGCTAAAGAAACAGGACCAGTGAAATCAACAATTTAACCAAAGTTTAAAACCAGACTACAGGACAGCTATTAATGATATGAGAATTCAGATCTCTTCATATATACCAGACCAAAGGTCAACAAACTTTTTCTGACAGAGGCCAGACAATCAATATTTTAGGCATTATGGGTTAGACAATCATTGTCACAATTACTCAACTCAGTCACTGCAGCACAAATATAGCCATAGACAAAAATCAATAAATGAGCTGGCTGTGTTACAATAAAACTTTGTTTAGAAAAACGGGCAGTGGCTTGATTTGGCCTTCGACTGTAGTTTACCAGTTGTGTATTAGCTTGAGTCTCTGTCAACTGTATGAGGTTGCTTCTTCCATAATAAATCACATTCAACAAGTTAAAGAAAAAGCATGGTTTTAAAATATAAAATAACCCAGTGGAAAGAGGCTGGGCTTTGAATTCAGAAAGTCGTGGATTCTAACTCTGGTTCCACTCCTCCACCCACTAGTCAACAAGCATCTCTGAGCCTCACTTTCCTCAAGTGCAAATGCACCTCAGAGTTTGTAAGTCAAATTAAATTAGGAAGGATGTAAAGAATGACATTTTTTTTTAAATGAAGGAAAAATATTAGCCAGCAAGTTAAAGAATAAAAATTAAACAAAATAAGATTAACCCATTCTTAAGATACTTTGAACATACATCCACACACAGACCATTAAACTTGTTTTATGTATACTCAGCCCCAATGTGTCTAAATGCTAGTGTTATACAGTCCCTGTTTCTGCTCATTCTACGTGCACCATGTGCTGAATCTGAAACAATTCTAAGTCATACGTTTGAACATAGACTGTTACTATTGCACTCCAATGACATGGTTATACAAGTAGCTAAAATAAAAAGTGTGAGACATAGTTAACAACAAACTATTTGGAGGATATTAAGTCTTTGGATAACAAATGATATTACCCCTGGAGTAAACAAACTTACAGATAAGACTCTCACTAAAGGAAGTGCAAAAATTTCACTATGTTTTAGAAGATTAGTGAAGTTTTCAGAAATGCAATAGACCACACAGAAGTCTAACAATAAAACAAAGAGACACAGTATTTCATACAAGACATCTGTGACATCAAATTTCATATAAGTAATACAGCTACGGCATTTTCTAAGAATAAAACTAAAAAGTTACAATTTGTGAACAAAATGCAAAGTTATACTTAATATACTATGCTTTTGACAATTAAAAACTATGTGCTGAAATTTAGACAAAATGTTCACTAAGATAACAGAAATCCAATTGATTCTCTTAATACTTGATCAATGAAGAAAAGCTATAAACCAGGAGACCAAACTATGAATAGCAAACCTCAAATATCGTTGCTCCTGTGAACCGACTTAGAGCAGCAAACTCGAGGATCAAGGTGCCCGCACAAGCTGTACAGGTGTCAGTCTCAGTACCTGTCCGGGCTTCTGGTTTTCTGATACCAAACTTCAAATTGATCTAAATAAAATCAGAAGATCATCTTTAGTGATTATCAAGAGACAATGATTTCCGGATAAGAATTATTTTTCAATTGAGACTCTAATCAAATCATGAAAATAACTGATAAAATAACACTGAAATTTTATCTGCTGATCTTTGTGACGTTCCGATTAGCATCTAGGAAAGTACATTCTAAGCACATACTATTTATGGGATGAGTAAGTGTTCATTTAGCTTCTTCTTCAAGGATATCAAAATTCAGTATCAATATAATAATTATACAAAACAAATACCTGCTATAACAATGGTGTTCTCTGAACAGTTTGAACTAGTCAGTACCAAAATAGGAAACTATATCAAATTGAGGTATAACTAAAACAAATTGAGGTTTAACTGAGAATCTGTGAAAAAGCAGTACTGTATTAGTTTTTCATAGAGAAAAAATTAATTACAGTATACATTTAAAAGAAGATTAAAATTTTAGTCACAGGTTTTAAAATGAAATTCTGAAATATAGAGTATGCTACCTGCTGACAGACTAACAAATAACACAAAGAAAAATGTTTCAATCAGCCAAATAACACCACAATATAAGCTTGAACCAAGCTGGCCAGAAATGAGCTCTAGGGTTTTATGTGGGTATAAAAAAATAACCATTAACTGTTTAATAGCATTTCTGTCCAGCAAATACTTCTGTGTTAAAACCATTATTGCAAATATTATCAATTATGTACTCATATCCAAGGGAGGTTGATTGTACCAATTTTCATGAGCAAAAGCAGTTATTTACTAAGTATATTTAAGAAGGATGGGAAGGTAGTTATTTTCTACCTGTAGTCCTCTTCTAAAAAAAAAAATCTTAAAAATTATATTGATACTTCTGAGGATAAGTAAGTAATATGACTTTGTTTTACGATAATGACCTTAGTAGCTTCTGTTTCCATTTCTTATCTGCTTCTCATGTTATGACAAAAGTGAAGAACTGCTAGATTCTTCAAAATTCAGCACCTCCATTTATAATAAAAACTAAAAATATTTACTAAAAGTAAATTCAACTAACTAAACATTTAGATGGTTTAAAATAATTTTGATTTCAATTTTAATATGCTAAAGAAACAAAAAGATTAACAAGAAAGTTTAAGCCACACTAATAAGCAAAGAGATTTCAAATTTTAAACCACACAAGCAAAAGAAATTTCAAATTAGAACATGTTTCCATTTTTTCCTCATTAAATTGGCTAAAAGTGAAAGTCACATCCAACTCTTTCCAACACCATGGACTATACAGTCCATGAAATTCTTCAGTCAAGAACACTGGAGTGGGTTGCCATGCCATGCCCTCCTCCAGGGGATCGTCCCAACCCAGGGATTGAACCCTGTCTCCCACACTGCAGGCGGACTCTTTACCAGCTGAGCCACAAGGGAAGCCCAAGAATACTGGAGTGGGCAGCCTATCCCTTCTGCAGCGGATCTTCCTGACCCAGGAATTGAACTGGGATCTCCTGCATTGCAGGAGGATTCTTTACCAGCTGAGCTATCAGGGAAGCCCAAATTGGCTGAAGAGAGAGAATACACAGTGTGGGCAGCAGTATGACCCATGCACTTTTACACAACATAGAAGTATAAAGTAGAACCTTTCTGAAGAACAACTGGTCAATAAGCACACAAAGCCTTAAAAAGCATTCCCTACTTTATGGCTTTTTTTCTTCTAGTAATTTATCCTAAGGAAGAAATAAGTAAAAAAAGACGTGTAGAAGGATATTCACAGACAAGCTATTTAAAATATCATAGAACAGATAGAAATTTAAATAAGAATTTAATACTAGTCTGTTTCTTAAACAATAACAACAAAAAAGATGTTTTCATGATCCACTAAATCAAAGGGTAAACAAATGGGCTGCGACCTCCAGTTTGAAAAGCATATATTATTGTGCTGGATCTCCAGTCAGAGATTTCTTGATGGAGGAAATAAGTCTTATTTATATTGGTAGAGAAGTTATTATGGCAAGCCTAAAGGTTTGGAAATGAAAAACAAAACCAAAAACTCCCTAGGTGTTTTGAAAAACACAAACATTATTTTGTCTGAAACAGAACATGCATTTCATTGGGGTATGGGTGTGAAAGAACCTCACCACGAAAGTCGATCGCCAAACCAGAAAGAAACCTGGAAGTTAAAGGACATTCACTGCAAAAGGCAGAGTCAGTAAATTTCTGAGGGCAATTTGATAAAAACCATGCTTTAGTAAGATTAATTTTTAAGTCTCTGAAGCAAAAACTAGAGAGAAAAGAGTAAAATATACATTTGTAATAGTTTATGAATACAATTATATTAGTTTCAACAATAAAGAAAACAAATAAACAAATAAAGCATTTAACAGGTTGAGGTATCTGGCCCAGGTAAGAAGGAAAGAGTAATACTGTTATTAATAATGAAATATATCAGTAGAGAGTTCTTCCCATCTTCAATCCTTTCCCTCTGCCTTAAATATAAAATTTTCTTGGGCAGGTGGGGAGGGGGGAATAACTCCTAGGACTTCCCTGGTGGTCCAGTGGTTAAGAATTGACCTTGCAATTGCAATGTAGGGAACAAGGGTTCAATCCGTGGTTGAGGAACCCACGCTGCGGGGCAACTAAGCCTGCAAGCTGTAACTACTGAGTCCACCTGCCACAACTAGAGAGAAGCCGACCTGCCACACCAAAAAGCCCATGGATGGCAATGAAAGACCCAATGCAGCCAAATAAATAATAATAATAATAAAAACTCCCTCAACTGACTGTGCTTGTGCTGCCAACTCTTCTTAACTACTAACACAGAGGAAATCTTAAAATGAATGTCCCTATACTTTCACCTACGTTGAATCCCTCTTCCCCTTTATTCTGCCACATTACATCCTTGAAGGCTCTGTTTACCCCTAATTATCCTAATGTTTGCTGGAACGTCTCCTTCTGAAACTCTTTTTTTGGTATTTTTAATACCATACACCACGTTGTGGTTCTCCTCCTAAGTCTCCAAACAATCTCCTTTTCACTGCTGTACTTCTTCCTCATTCCCCTCTGTCCTGTATTCCCTCACTATTCTCTCCTCTGGAGAGTGAACACCTACTCTACTGCTTCCACCACATTGTCTGTACAAATAATTCTGGGCCCAAGTTCTAGTCTGGCATTTGTTTCTTCCTTCTGCAGCATAACCTTATGCAATGACACAAAAAGTTTTAACAAATCTAAATTATCACACCATTCAAATGCAAATTAACCAAAATGGTCATATCAATTTGTTATAGAGCTTGAAGCAATTTTTTTCCAGCCTTAAGCAGCTAAGGAATGATGGCTGGATCACAAAAATTGATTCTTTCAAAACAGCAAAGTATACAAAGGCTGCCACATCTTTCAGAATTACTTACTCTTGGATAAGGAAGGCCACTGGTAGTATTGAAAGCTGGTAAAAGTTTGTAACCCAATTGCTTTGCCATTTGGAGAAGCTCATCACTGTACCACTGCATGTACTCGCCTTTTTCTTTCAGCATGATTGCCAGTGAGTGTCCACCCAAAAGACCCCTACAACCAGAGATGAAACATTAGTCACATTGTACACATACCTACACATCATCACCTAAACAGATGTGGGTACCTTGCTACCAACAATTTAGAGTACATAAGGAACAATCACAGAAGAACATAATTTCCTACCTAACTCTGGCTACTCAGTTTGTGGCAAACCATTATTAAACCATGGCCAGTACAAAAAAAAAAAAAGAATAAAATGTTGTAACTGTTGTAAAAGGTTTGGCCCCTGGAGAAGAGAAAGGCAACCCACTCTAGTATTCTTGCCTGGAAAATCCCATGGAGAGAGGAGCCTGGTGGGCTATAGTCCATGGGGTCGAAAAAGAGTCAGACATGTCTGAGCAACTAAACAACAACAACAAAAGGGTTTGGCATTCTTAAATACCTTATATTTTCTTAAAATAAAAAACAACCTAGAAATCATTTATCTTAATAAGTTTAACACATTTGATTTTAACAAATTTTAAATTTAATTATAGCACCATGAAATCTCTTGACTTCTAGTATAACTAACAAAAATTTCCCACTCTTTATTAAATGTAATAGATTAATAAACTCTGTGAAAAGCTAAAAAACTATTTTTTTAATTTAACTGATTAATAGACTCACTTTGCCTGTGTGACAAAAGGAAATGAGTTACAGTAACACAAAAACAACCATTAAATATAAAAATTAAATAATGCTGAAATGTGAATTAATAAATCCTGCACTTCCTGTGTTCCAAGGATATTTCAAACTGTTAGTTCAAAGGTAATCCTATAAATTCAGTTTGGCCTGAAGAAGTGCTAAGGTTAGTAAAATAGATAAGCTGGCAAAAAAACTGGGATGTAGCTAATATGCAAATACTTGACCTATTGTCAGTCCTTTTTTAACAACATACAAGATTACCTTTGATTTGAGTCTGCACCTTTGATTTGAGTCTGCAACTATTTCCAAAGCTTGTTGCTGACTGTGCCTCACATATAGAAGGGTCATTCCGCAGTCTCTGTGTTTTACAGTATCCCACCTTTTATTTTTTAAACATAAGAAATTTCTTGCTTTACTACCACCAAGAAATAAAGAGCATACCCTTATTCTTCTGTTATTAAAATTAGAGTTCAGTATCTCACATACTTACCCAAGAACTCTGATGTTTGTTTCAAAGACTGATACAACTACATCATTATCTAAGTTAACATCTCTTAAAACTTTTCTCACTGCATCTTCAAATTCTTTAGTTTTATTTAATACCTAGGAGAAGAAAATTATTGAAAGTAATTTTCGACCAAGACACAGAAAAATATCCTCAGAATGAGTTACTAATAGCAAGTCAATACCTTAAGACTATAAAAAATAACACAGAAAAAAATGTTTCCCTTAAGCATATTATAAAAATGTGATACTATCTAAAACTGAAAAAGATTAAATGCCTATTTATAGTCCAAGGAATCTTTATAAACTTCTTTTTAGACACACTGAAAAATCATCAGGACTTTAAAACAATCATCATCAGAACTGTTAGCTGGTGTGTATAACCCATGACCTAGAGCTCCAAAAGGTGAACTCTACTAGGATTTGGTTCCCAAGTCAAACAAAACAAAACCCACCCTATTCATCAAATATCATTTTAAAACTTGCTTAGTCTCCAAAGAAAGCACATCCTCCAAGGAATGATCAATTGGTCCTAAACCATACAACACTTGCCATCTTCACCCCATGGACATCATGGCCCCTAACTGAGGAGGCAGTGCAATGTTGGGCTAAAGAACAAGCTCTGATTTGAATTCTGGCTCCTTAGTCTCATCTCTAAGCCTGTTCTTTCATCTACAAAAAGAGGAAATACCTATCCTCAGAGGTTTGTTTTCCTAAATGAGGTAATGCACGCAACCTACGTTTAGTAGAGCACCTGAAGCATGTGACTTAGTAAGTGCTTGACACCATTACTATCTATTATGACCTTTACTACCACGAGGGTCTATAATCCTGACAAGAACAGAACTCTGGATGCCTGCAGTGAGCTCCAGAAGAGGGTCACTGTCATTACACAGGTTGTGTCGATTTTTCAGTCTAAATTAAGGTTGCACAAGTAGATGTTATTTAGATCTCAGGTCCATTAAAAGTAAGCCTTCCTTTACCTGTTTAATCTTTTTGTTTGATAATATTTTATAGTGCTTTCTCATCTGATCTGGCACTTCACTAAAAATCCTAATTTGGGGACTTCCCTGGTGGTCCAGAGGTTAAGAATCTGCCTGCGAATGTAGGGTTGCTCCTTGGTCTGGGAAGATCCCACATGGCAAGGAACAACTAAATCGATGCACCCCAACTACTAAGCCAGTGCTCCAGTGTCCGGGAGCCGCAACTCATGAGCTGTGTTCCCCCCAACTACTGGAGCCCAAGCGCTTAAAAGTCGCACTCTGCAATAAGAGAAGGCACGGCAATGAGAAGTCTGTGCCCCGCAACAAAGAGTAGCCCTGACTCGCCGCTACTAAAGTAGAGAAAGCTCATGCACAGCAATGAAGACCTAGCACAGCCAAAAGGGAATAAAAATTTTAAAAATTCTAATTTAGGCATAAAACATAAGAGTATGACTAAAATTTAAGTAAAATTTAGGGTAAGCCTTGAGTATAGTATAATATAAAACCCGATTTTAAACTGAGCGCTTTTCTTTCTCAGTCTCAAAGTCCATGTAAATTCTGAAGCCACAAATGCGAATGTACAAAGACCTGTATCACTTCTGGGAGACACAACTGTTCTACTCACTCCGCACACACACACACATCTTTGTAATATAATTATTCTTTCAAAGTCTATCTCCTGAGAATTGCTCCCAAGAATAGTACCTACGCTATTTGTTTCAAAGAAGAATAAACATGAGGAGAGTTTTGTCCATAATTAGCTAAAAATTCATTCTAACAGCTCCATTAGTTGACGGGTTTCTTAAGCTCCTAACTGATAACAAAGAACAAATTCAGGTCTCTTCCTTTCCCCCCTTTAATTTGTTCAGTATCTTTCTCGCTGTAGATTTCATGGTAACGTTGACTTTAGTGGTAAATTTAAAGTTTTAGTGTTTGATTTCATTACAGTCAATAGAAACTAGATGTCTAGAATTATGAACAAGAGTTTAAACTGAAAGATCACTCAGCCATTAAAAAGAATTCATTTGAATCAGTCTAATGAGATGGACGAAACTGGAGCCCATTATACAGAGTGAAGTAAGCCAGAAAGATAAAGATCATTACAGCATACTAACACATATATATGGAATTTAGAAAGATGGTAATGATAACCCTATATGCAAAACAGAAAAAGAGACACAGATGTACAGAACAGACTTTTGGACTCTGTGGGAGAAGGTGAGGGTGGGATGTTTCGAGGTTAGAACAGCATGTATATTATCTATAGTGAAACAGATCACCAGCCCAGGCTGGATGCATGAGACAAGTGCTCGGGCCTGGTGCACTGGGAAGACCCAGAGGAATCAGGTGGAGAGGGAGGTGGGAGGGGGGATCGGGATGGGGAATACATGTAAATCCATGGCTGATTCATGTCAGTGTATGACAAAACCCACTACAATATTGTAAAGTAATTAGCCTCCAACTAATAAAAATAAATGAAAAAAAAAAGAAAGATCAAACTCTGACAACAGAAGTTCTACTTAACATATTATGGTATGACCAAAATAAAAACAATAAGGTTGCATCCTGTCCCAAGTGATATGTCCTCTAATAGTTTCAAATAAAGAAACCACAAATCAAAAAATGATCACAGAGTAAATTAGAAATATTAAATACTTGTACTGATAAAATGTACAACATTCCAAGTGTAGGAAAAACTTTCAAACTAAAATTCTTATGTTTAAATAGATATTAATAGGTACCTTAGATATCCAATCTAGGCCCTTCTGAAGTGAAAACAGGGATCCAGAGAAGCTAAATAATTTGGCCAACGTCACATATTAATATTATACGACCACTTCCTGGTACTCCCTGCTACAAGGAGCAAGAACTCAGGTTACACCAAACAGTACTCTTAAGTGTGGTCTGCTGACCAACAGCACCACCAAGTGGCAGTTTGCTAGAAAAACACCTCTTTGGGCTTGCCTTCAGTCTACTCCATCACAATCTGCATTTTATTTTAGCGAGATCCCCAGGTGATATGTAGCAAACAAGTCTAAAAAGCACTGCATCATTACACGTAGTTCTCAAACTTTAGCATATGTTAGAATCATCTGGAAGCTTGTTAAAAAAAAAAAACACTCCTGGGCATTATTCCCAGAATTTCTGATTCAACAGGCCTGGGATGAGGTGCTACAATCTGCATCTCTAACAAGCTGCCAGGTGATGCTGATGCTGGTGGTGCTGGAATCATACTTTGAGAACCAATGCCAAAGTGGTTTAATTTCAAAGTGGAATAGAACCTATTCATAATAATGGCTGCTCAATTATAGACCAGCAGATTTCTATATATAGGGAAGTTATGCAGCCTAGAAATACATTTTCTCCTTCATTTCTGATAAAAAAAATTTTAAAACACATAGAATATCTGAGGTTGAGGTTCATAAAAATCACTAAGAGCTTAGAGAGAGATGATGGAGAGCTTCCACTATGTAAGGATAAAGCCAAGATGACAGAATGAGAAACAAATGTACATCCACCTCTGGTCTTTCCTAATACACAGCTATTGCCCCGCACTCACTCCCCTGTATCAAGACAGACATGCGGTGTATCATCCAGCTATACTTATAAACAAATAACACCACTGAGCTTCTTCCAGGGTGGCAACTTGTGTCTCCTGGGATACCTATTTATCTTTTTCTCTTCTCCTATCATAGCAGAACACATAGGACTACTAAACCAAAAATAAGGTACACAATAGTCTCTCTTACAGTCATTATAATATGGTTCACACATTCCTTTTATTTCTGAAAAATGAAATCACAACTTTCAAAACTCTGATACAGCTAAAAAGGTCTAAACAATCATGGACTTCTCAACAAAAAATATCTCAACTATGGCTAAATTTTATAAACAAAGAGAAGCTTTAGAGATACAAAATAAAGCCGGGCCCCACTTCAGGAAAATTAAATCAGAGTAACTTGGGAAAGAAGAATATTTTTTTACACTTCGTAAGTAATATTCCTAAGGTGCTGATATAGTTGAGAGTCTCTGATTAAAAAAGAAAAGAAAAAGAGAAAAGAATCACCCAGTGAAATAAAAATGTAGAAACAGTATTGGGAAGAAAAGCCAGTCTCTGAAAAGTTTCTGCCACCGCAAAGATTTTTTGTTGTGTTTTTTAAAATATTAATCAATACTTTAGACATTAACTCAACTTTGAGAATCATGCCTTAAGGAAAATTCTGAAACAAGCCTATTTTTAAACCATAAATGATCTGAGAGTAAAAACCTAGAAAGACACTACATTCAGTAATCATGACAGCTGGAACTGAGCCATTCCCCTCTGCCATCACAAACCACACCCAACGAGAATTAATTTAAATAACTTTGCCTCCCATCAGGTTTAAAAGGAGTGCAAGTAGTGATCACTTGGTATTAAAAATCACTTTTGAGAAAGAAGTAAATTTTTAATGGACCTAATATATAAAAATTTTAATTTAACAATTTCAGTATCATTACAGCATGTCTCTCTGGGAACAAGAATATCAAGAGCATTTTTTAGAATTACTTTCTTCCAATAGCTTCAACCTACTTGTCCAAAAGGAAACAACTTTTCTGATTAAGGGGCCATCATGTAAGCTAACATACCTATAAATTTTAAGTATCTCCATGATTCTACGTAATTTCACTTGACATTCACATGACATTATCAACTAACAGTATGAAAGATTTATTTTGAAGCAAAGATTCAAATTATCTTAAATTCTGAAAGCTTCAATTTCAGACTTACTGTATTACAATTATATTCATAGTACTTAAGCACACATATTAAGAAATTTATAAAATAATTTAAGAAGAATCAAACCTACCACAAGAGTGTCCAAAGAATCAATCAGTGTCAGGGAAAATCTATGAAACAAGAATAGTGAGATACAAAACATTAGAATTCTGAATATTTGTATCCATGAACATATAAGACATTATCTGCATCCTACTGACTGACTGGCGGTTTCCATTATTCCATTAACTAGTACTTTCATGCAGCTACAGTACCATGTAACCTATAAAACACTAAAATAACCTGAAAAGCCTTAACATCACATTTACATTAGGCATAACTACAAATCTTTCAAAGTGAACAGAAATATTCATTAGCTCTTTTAAAAGCAAATAAAAAATATCAACGCATCAACACCTTTTAAGTGTCAACGACTATATACATTCTAAAAGTCACATTCATCTTAACAAACGACTCAACTTTTCACTGATCTAAGAGGTAAACTAATTAATATTGTACAAAAGATAACAGAAAGGAATAAAGGAATTTAATGTAATACTTAAAGCAGTCTTTGAAATTTAACCAATTCCCAGATACACAATTACACACTGCCTCTAAGATGCCTTAACACTTGAGAACTTTGAGATGCCATGTTATGCCCTTTGTTAATACTCACTTTCCCAAGGCATCATCAACATCACCCCGACTTGGCTCCTGGCCTCTAACCCGACCTCTGCAGGTCAAAGGCATGAGTTCATCTGCTGGGTAAGCATGTTCCTGCAAGGAAAGTCTTAGTGAGTCACTAAGGAAAGTAGGAGGAAAGTGCACATCTTTTAGAGAACATAACTTTTCAGTTTTTTTAACAAAAGTTTTACTATTCTTACAGTCCATGGAACCTTAAAAGAAAACTTTTTAGCTACAAATATGTACTTGTAAAATACAAGACAATATTTCCTTAAAACTCTAATAACAATCTGTTTCCCCTCCACCCAATCTCATCTACAGGTGTATTTTATTCTTTTTAATAACTGCACAGTGATAGTTTAATATTAGCTAATATTATTGAGTACTTATGTTCTAAGCACTGCTCTATATGTTTTAGTTTATTTATCACATTAAACAATTTCCATTATTTCTTTTTTTTTTTTCCCCATTCCTTCTTTTTTTTAAACTGAAGTACATTTGAGTACAATGTTAGTTTCTGGTGTATAGTATAGTGTTTCCATATTTTCATAGATTATACTCCTTTAAAATTTATACCAATGGCTGATTCATGTTGTGGTTTCACAGAAAACAAAAATCTGTAAAGCATTATTTCTGTTTTATAGAGGAGAAAACTGAGGGCCAGAGAAATTAAGTAAGCCTATGTAATGCAACCAGTAAATGACGGATCCAAAATGCAAACGTGGCAACCTGATTCCAGAGCCCACACACTTCATAGGACCTGCTCCTTACGGTATTCCAAAGTATGGGTATTGATGAGCATGTGGGTTGAACTCAATTTTTTGCTGTATAAACAATGCTTCAATAAACAGCTATATGTCCATATCTCTTGTACATATGCTTGTATTCTATGGATTAAATCTCTAAAACCAGACCCAGTGGGTCAAAGATATGGATATTTCATTTTTTCTGTGCTGTGCTTATCCAACTTATCAGTCATATCCAACTCTTTTCGACCCCATGGACTGTAGCCCACCAGGCTCCTCTGTCCACGGGGATTCTCCAGGCAAGAATACTGGAGTGGGTTGCCATGCCCTCCTCCACGGGCTCTTCCCAACCCAGGGACTGAACCCAGGTCTCCCGCACTGCAGGCAGATTCTTTACTGTCTGAGCTGCCAGGGAAGCCCAAGAACACCAGAGTGAGTAGCCTATCCCTCTTCCAGGTGATCTTCCTGACCCAGGAAATCATACCGGGGTCTCCTGCATTGCAGGCAAATTCTTTATCAGCTGAGGTACCAGGGAAGCCCCTTCATATATGCTAGCTACTATATGAAACTGAAGACAAATATACACTCTTAACAACACTCTCAGGCAATGGTCAACAGTTCACATTTTGCCATTGTCCTGGATAAAAAATGGTATCTCAAGTTTCATTACAAATGAGGATAAATATCTTTTTGCATTCAGTTCAGTCGCTCAGTCGTGTCCGACTCTTTGCGACCCCATGCATCTCAGCACGCCAGGCCTCCCTGTGTATCAAAAACTCCTGGAGATTACTCAAACTCATGCCCATCGAGTTGGTGATGCCATCCAGCCATCACATCCTCCGTCATCCTCTTCTCCTCCTGCCCCCAGTCCCTCCCAGCATCAGGGTCTTTTCCAATGAGTCAACTCTTCGCATGAGGTGGCCAAAGTATTGGAGTTTCAGCTTCAGCATCAGTCCTTCCAATGAACACCCAGGACTTATCTCCTTTAGGATAGACTGGTTGGATCTCCTTGCAGTCCAAGGGACTCTCAAGAGTCTTCTCCAACACCACAGTTCAAAAGCATCAATTCTTCAGCGCTCAGCTTTCTTCACAGTCCAACTCTCACATCCATACATGACCACTGGAAAAACCATAGCCTTGATGAGATGGACCTTTGTTGGCAAAGTAATGTCTCTGCTTTTTAATATGCCATCTAGGTTGGTCATAACTTTCCTTCCAAGGAGTAAGTGTCTTTTAATTTCATGGCTGCAATCACCATCTGCAGTGATTTTGGAGCCCCCAAAAATAAAGTCTGACACTATTTCCCCATGTATTTGCCATGAAGTGATGGGACCAAATGCCGTGATCTTAATTTTCTGAACGTTGAGTTTTAAGCCAACTTTTTCACTCTCCTCTTTCACCTTCATCAAGAGGCTCTTTAGTTCCTCTTCACTTTCTGCCATAAGAGTGGTATCATCTGCATATCTGAGGTTATTAATATTTTTCCTGGCAATCTTGATTCCAGCTCGTGCTTCAAACACCCCAGCGTTTCTCACGATGTGCGTATAAGTTAAGTAAGTAGGGTGACAATATACAGCCTTGACGTACTCCTTTTCCTATGTTGAACCAGTCTGTTGTTCCATGTCCAGTTCTAACTGTTGCTTCCTGACCTGCATACAGGTTTCTCAAGAGGCAGGTCAGGTGGTCTGGTACTTCCATCTCTTTCAGAATTTTTTATTGTGATCCACACAGTCAAAGGCTTTGGTATAGTAAATAAAGCAGAAATAGATGTTTTTCTGGAACTCTCTTGCTTTTTCGATGATCCAGCGGATGTTGGCAATTTGATCTCTGGTTCCTCTGCCTTTTCTAAAACCAGCTTGAACATCTGGAAGTTCACAGTTCTCGTATTGCTGAAGCCTGGCTTGGAGAATTTTGAGCATTAGTTTATTAGCATGTGAGATGAGTGCAATTGTGCAGTAGTTTGAGCATTCTTTGGCATTGCTTTTCTTCGGGATTGGAATGAAAACTGACCTTTTCCAGTCCTGTGGCCACTGCTGAGTTTTCCAAATTTGCTCGCATATTGAGTGCCGCACATTCACAGCATCATCTTATAGGATCTGAAATAGTTCCACTGGAATTCCATCACCTCCACTAGCTTTGTTTGTAGTGATGCTTCCTAAGGCCCACTTGACTTCACATTCCAGGATGTCTGGCTCTAGGTGAGTGATCACACCACTGTGATTATCTGGGTCGTGAAGATCTTTTTTGTATAGTTCTGTGTATTCTTGCCACCTCTTCTTAGTATCTTCTGCTTCTGTTAGGTCCATACCATTTCTGTCCTTTATCGAACCCACCTTTGCATGAAATGTTCCTTTGGTATCTCTAATTTTCTTGAAGAGATCTCTAGTCTTTCTCATTCTTGCATTTCTCATTCTTTCCCATTTTTGCATTAGCCACTGCTATTTCTTTTTAGAAATGTCTATTTATACCCTTTGTTTATTTTCCATTGGTTGTCTGACTCCTTATACATTGTTATGTAAACATTTTTTCTCCTATCTTTCCTTTCGCTTTCAACTTTGTTTATGGTACTTTTTACTTTAATCTTTAAATATGTAGTTAAATCTATTAGTCTCTTCATGGTTTCTAAATTTGGGGCATGGTTAACAAGGCTATCTTGGGTCTCTGAAAACAGCACTCTTATAATTTTATTTTTTATACGTCTAGATATTTACTCCATCTGGAATCTAATTTTGCTTATGATGTGAAGTGGGAATGTACTTGTATTTTCTCCCCCAAATAGCCAATTTCCTAAATACCACTTTTTAAACAATTCATCCTTTCCCTAACTGCTTGAAATATAGCTTATAAAGTGTCTACATGAACACACGTTTGTATAGCCTCTACTTTGTTCTACAGACCTAGTTCCTACTCCTATTGCCCTACAGACCTATTTGTTTTACAAACCTACTTCCTGCTTCAAAACCATTGTGTTAATCAGTCTTTGCCACATGCCTTGCTACTTGGTTAAGCAATTCACTCCCCCCAATCATTTTGTTGTAAATTTTCTTAATAAGTTTTTCAAGTTTACTCTTCTGGATAACTTTAAAATTTCCTTAAAATTCCATTGAAATTTTAACTGAAAGAGTCTAAATTGGGGAGAATTGATATTTTTTGACCAACTGAATCTTCTCATCTAGGACTACTTTATCAATATACTAGCTCAAATCTTCTTTTATGAATTCAGTTTCCACCACAGGCTCATATATTTCTTAATATTTATTAATAGGTACTTTTTATTGAAATAGGTTGATGTACAAATTATGTTAGTTTTGGGTGTACAACACAATGACTCAACTAATAGGCATTTTATAGCTTGAGTAGATTGTTTTTTGGATAAACAACCATGACAGCGTATGTCTAGTCTAAATGATAATGAAGCACACGCAAGAATCCTCCCTCTTGTCTACTACACAGTGAAATGTTGTATAATTTTTTTAAATTATTTTTAATACATAGCTAAGCTTGAAAATAAGAAATTTTCCAGTACCAAAACTGAATAGTGGAGTGAGAAGATGAAGCTGCATTGACCACAACATGGGCATTAGGAATAAAGACAGGCTTTAAAGAGAAAATGTTAACACCCAAAGTGTTGGGAGATGTTGTTGGCCCTCCATGCATGGCCATAGCCAATGAAGTAGGTTCTTTAAGTTGAATAGTTGCGTTAATGAAATTGGACTAGAATATCTCCAATTACTTGGCTGTACCTCTTAGAAAAGGAGAGAAACAAGAAAAGCCTGCTAAACTTTATATTGTCTTTAACCAGGGGACTGTCCCTAAAATAGTCCCCCAAAATTAATAAAATGTGACTATAAGAAACATTTAGAAGCTAGAATCACTGTATTACATATTTCAATATTAGATAATACTTACTGACTACCTGACAAGGATAGCAGGATTAATATACTCACCCTTTCCCCTAATTCAACTTGGGATTTTTATCAATTATATTATTATAAACAGTTTTCACTATACACACACAAATTGAGATTCACAATTTAAACTTTCAGCACCATGGTTCAAATTCCAAGTACCACTGTATTTTTAAATAACCGCACAGAATGCAAACTGAAGTGCCCAGTTCTTCCATCCACAAATCACTACATAAATACCAGATGCTTCCTGTGATCAGCAATCAATCACATCACTTCTTTCAAAGTGGAACTAGTGATTGATCACTGTGTATTTTTTAGTTCAGACAGCAAGCATGAAGTTACATGTCTCCTTGTCACCTAGTGATAATCCTACATGACAGTTTGACAGTTTATAAAAATAGATAATCAAAAGAGGAAATTAACCAATGAGGATGAA